AGCAGCGGGCCATGTGAGGGAATCAACTTCCCCACATAGCTCTCCGACCTTCTGTGTGCGAAAAGCAACAGGAGGGTGGCGGATAGTGCACGCGTTTAACAAATTGAACGCTGCAACGGTACCGGCTCAGACGCCGATACCGAGGAAGGACGTAATCATTGATGGTATGTCAAAGAGTACCATCTTTTCGTCCATGGATTTGATGGATGGCTTCTATCAAATCCTAATGCGGGAACAGGATATACCCTATACCGCAGTTAGCACGCCTAGCGGCATGCTCTGGGAATGGCTAGTAATGCCACAAGGGCTCAGTAATGCCCCTGCCACGTTCAACAGGTGTGTATCACATCTGTTGAGGCCAGTACGAGAATTCGCGCCGAGTTATTTCGATGACGTATTCATCCATAGTCGAGCTATGGATGGAAAGTCGGACGTTGAGTTCACAAGTACCACGTCCGACAAGTTCTTACAATCATGCGAAAGCATCAATTGTATGCAAACCTCAAGAAGTGTATATTTGCAGCAAGCGAAATACCACTTCTTGGGTGCATCGTTGGTAAGAACGGTGTACGTCCTGATCCCGAAAAGATCAAGGCGATCACCGACTGGCCCGTGCCGGTCGATGTCAAAGGTCTTCGAAAATTCCTTGGGCTAGCGGCGTATTTGCATAAGTATTCACGCAATTACGCCGAGATGACTGTACACCTCTCTCGTTTGTTGAAAAAGAACGAGAGGTGGTTATGGAACGCTGAATGTCAACGCTCCTTTGAGGGTATCAAGCAGAGCTTGATACAATCCCCAGTCCTAGCAATAGCCGATCAGGACAGGCCATTTCATGTGGTCTGTGATGCCAGCGATTTCGCAATCGGCTGTGCATTAATGCAGTACGACCTTGAAGGCGTTGAACGCGTCGTCTGCTATCAGTCGCGTCAGCTGCAACCAGCTGAGCGGAACTATCCAGTGCATGACAAGGAACTCCTTGCCATGAAGTATGCACTCGCGAAGTTCAGAGTCTATCTATTAGGAGATAGACCCTTCGTTGTTTACACTGACCATGCGTCCTTACGCACGGCAGTGAACAGCCCCACCTTTCACAACGAATGGCGCGGTGGTTGTCATTCTTTGCAGAATACAACTTTACGGTCGAGTACAAACCAGGACGACTTAATGTCGTCGCTGATGCACTCTCACGTCGTCCCGACTTTGAAACAGTCGCGAAACCCAACAGTGAGACAGTCACTGTTGCGGTTATGACGTCCTCAGTTCCATCTACAACGTTGTATGATGATGTGAGGCGGGCATACGCCCAAGATGGTGAGATAGTGAAGTTGTTGTCACATCTCTCCCAACCATCTCGAGAATCGTTGAAACGATTGTCGTCTGCGTATCGATCTGCATCAGATCGATACACTACTCGTAACGGTTTACTGTACTATACAGCCGTTTCTGGTGACACACCACGTGTTGTCATTCCAGATGATACTGATCTGCGTTTGCGGATCATGTTCGAGTATCACGATGCTCCTATAGGAGGACATCGTGGCCGAGAAAAACATATCTCACGGTAAGTCGAGACTTTTACTGGCCCCGCCAGTATCAGTTTGTGCGAAAGTATGTTCGCGCATGCGAAGTCTGCCAACGAGTGAAGTCAAGTCCTTCACTGCGTGCACCTTTACAGCCTCTACCGGTTCCGGCTGAGTGCTGGGAATCCATCTCAATGGATTTCGTCTTCGGGTTACCCAAAGACGCACGCGGGAATACGGGTATTCTCGTATTTGTTGACAGATTCAGCAAAATGGTACACCTTGTGGCTGTACCAGAGACAATCACGGCAAGTGGCTGTGCTTGTGTCTTTATTGACACCATCTTCCGACTTCATGGGTTGCCCCGTGAACTCGTATCAGACAGAGATCCCCGATTCACTGCTGATTTCTGGCGTTCCGTGTTCAAATCACTCGGAACGCGCTTGAAGATGTCAACATCTGATCATCCAGAGTCAGATGGTCAGACGGAACGTGCCAATCGTGTCCTTGAAGAGATACTTCGAGGATACGTACACTCCTTTAAGAGTTGGAGTGAGTTTTTGCCAATGGTAGAGTTTGCCATCAACAACTCGGTGCATGCGTCCACGACATACACCGTTTTACGTGAATGGCTTGCGCCATCCGCGTGTACCCACCTTACTAGAGTGTAACTCTGGTTTAAGGGGGAGGGACTCGCGCGAGCAAAAACCGATTTGGTTCACGCTCATCACGCTCTGACGAAGAAGTCATTGCGTTTGATGCCGATATCGATAACATCGATATCGAAGAAGATGATGCCAGTGAGAGTGCGGAAGCCCTCACTGAAGACAATGATCCCAGTGAGAGTGCGGAAGCCCTCACTGAAGAAAAGGTTGTTGTCGCTGCAGTGCGCTCACAGCACACTGAAGCTAACGAGTCATCAGATGAGTTCATACTGGCTCGTGAAACGGTAGTCCGTTTTGTGCAAGACTCCATCGCCGAAGCGGTGGATAAGCAAAAGCAAAACGCTGACAAGAATGGAAGGGCAAACACTCTTTTATTTAATAAAGGTGACTTAGTCCTACTGTCTACGGTTAATCTACCAAAACATGTAGTGACTAACTTGGGTAGCAGTAAACTACTACCCAAGTACATTGGCCCATTTCGTGTATTGCACCGCCTAGGCAATGCATACACGATCGAGTTACCACGTAAGATGCGAACGCATCCCACGTTTTACGTTGGTCGGCTTAAGCCGTACCATCAGTACGCTGCTTCTTCCGATGAAGAACGCCCTTGCGCTCAAGCATCTCGCAGAGAGCCTTGTGCTCCCGATGGTGGGCATCAACAAGGGTCTGAAGAGCAGTTATCTCAGCCCGAGACCGATCAACAATCCCACGAGCTACCCTTAGCTCGTCACGAAGAGATGTCAGAGATCTCTCGTTCTCAAGCTGAGCAAAGGCAAACTCAGCTCGATGCTTCGAGGCAGTGTCCACCATCTGGAGACGCCTATTCCGCTCATGCTCGAGATCGTCGCGTAACCCTTGCGTTACGCGATCAAAGCTCTCGGGAACACACCGATCCACATGATCGTGTGGAGAGCGTCTTTCCTCCCTCCTCCACCTCCATTAGAGGACTCTCGCGGTGGCCAGCGCTATCTAGTAGAGCAGCTGTTGAACCACCGCGACGTGAACGGACGTCGGACGAGTTACCTCGTCCGGTGGCGCGGCTATCCCCGTCCTGGGATTCTTGGGAGCCCCGCTCCCAATTGATGGTTGACGTACTGGGTCTGGTCGAGCAGTACGACGCGACACATCCTGTGCCGCAGAAGGACCGCCGGAGAAAGTCTTCCCGGCACGGTCGTAAAAGGGATTTCAGGTTGTCAATCCCTTCGTACATCTCAGTAGAGACACGTACGCGCCACCACGGGCTGGTAAGGAGGTAAGCCTCCTTAGGTGCTCGTGCAGAGTTGTTCACACAACATGGGCACGAGTCTCCCCAAGAGAGGCAGGGTAATCCTTTCTCCCTTGACAGACGATGCAGCTTATAGCGTGCACCTGTCGGGGTTCGCTTTTCAAACTTATCACGAGCTTTGATAAGTTTGTCGTTCCAAGCGTCACGACCTACATCCTCGAGATTATGGATGTAGGCGTTCCACGCCTGAAGTAGTGAGGGACCATCACGTTTGTGATTCCCACTGTACCATCGATGTCTGAAGAAAGCATCGATGAAGAACTCATGTTCAGCGCGATAGTCTTTCGCGCTGGGGTCAAGGTGATGAATCCTTGACGAATCGAACAATCGTGTTCGATAACGATCACTCGTCGTCGCCGACAAGTGATCCATGACAGATTTAGGAGGCATCCATGCCTTCTTTTCTGGAGCGAGACGCAACACATTGCGGTCCCGCTCTTCCTGCGACGTGCCGACAGAAGTACTGGCACCTCGCTGTGAAGTGGTGTCCATTGGAGAAACGACACCACTATTAGCGCCCGAGTCTCGCGACCTCGAGCGCCTTCGCTTCGGCGATGGTTCATCTGATGAGTCAGATGAACCAAAGATGCTGCGACGCAAAGCATCGTCCATGCCACGCTTGGCAGGCGGCTTGGATTCAATTGCCGTCGATACGGATCCGTCATCCGTATCAGGAGAGTACGAGACACCGAGCTCGTACTCTGTGAAGACACGAGTGTCTTCATGACCAGCGCCTGCATCACCAGGTGATACAGGCTGAGTCGATTCAGCAACCGATGGGACATCAGTTGCTGTAGTTTCTGCTTCGGCGTCCGCACAGAGACGTGCAGACGCGCTCTCGGCGGCCTTGCTCGCGCATCGCATGGGCTTGTTTACCATGCGATGAGATGTTGGAAAGTGGACGCGGACCAACAAGTGCAAACCCCGTCCCAAATGATTTGGGACGAGTATCCATTTAGTCAATCAGTCACTAAAGTGACTGATGGTTAAGGGGGGTGATGTAACGGGGTGAATCGTTACATAACAATTTATAAGAAATTGTTAATAGAATATAACTATAAGAGTTATATTCTCAGAATATTGTCATAAGGACAATATTCTGTAGCACTTCCAAGTAGTTCCTAATTGGTTGATATAGGCCATTATATCAACCAACGAAGACGCCACGACAGACGCACGCAATGAGTGGTGAGCAGATAACTGATTTACACATTTGTATTTAGACATAGTTAGATGAAGATAAATAGTGATTTATTGCAGACATTAACTATTATAAATACAGTTCTACTTTTTACTCTAACCGAGTACTCGCTTCTTCTTACCGTCTTCCTCTGCACGTACGAGTGTACGTGAAGTTACGAGGCACCGCCTTATTCTGTTATCAGAATAAGTAGCTTGTACTGTCACCAGTACAAGCTTCAGGGTGCCCCGTTACATAACAGCAATCCTGTCAGAACTCCACAAGAACCAGGACTCAAGCTGACAAAGTCAATGTGCGTGGATGGGTGCAAGCATGACGAAACGATGGCAAATGTGCCATTTCGCAACGCAGTCGGCTGCTTGATGTACCTTATGGTGGGTACACGCCCAGACCTTGCAGCTGCAGTGGGAGTGCTTAGCCAGTTCTCGGCAGACCCTTGTCCGACCCATTGGCAAGCTCTTAAGCGGGTGTTACGTTACATCCAAGGCACAAGGGAATATGGAATCGAGTATCAAGCAACAAACAATGACAAACTGCACGGCTACTCGGATGCAGACTGGGCCGGAGACGTGGAAGCTCGACGAAGCACAAGCGGGTACACGTTCATATTGAACAACGGGTATGTAAGCTGGAGAAGTAAGAAACAGAGCACTGTGGCTCTTTCATCTACGGAAGCGGAGTACATGGCTTTGACGGAAGCTGCACAAGAAGCAATTTGGCTGAAGGCACTATTATGTGAGCTCGACGAGATGAGGAGCGATGAAGCTGTCAAGATTTACGAAGACAATCAAGGTTCCATCGCTTTGGCCAAAAATCCCGAATTTCACAAGCGCACAAAACACATTGACATTCGGTATCACTTTGTACGCGAAAAAGTGGCTGAAGGAACATTGGTGTTGTAATACTGCTCGACCAAGGACATGAAGGCCGACCTGATGACGAAGCCAATTCCTGCAGTACAGTTTCAACATCTACGGAACATGCTGGGTGTCAAGGTGCTAACTTCTGCCGAGGCGAGTGGGAGTGTTGTCACAAATGCGCCTCGGCATGCGTATTCGCACAAGAACCTGTAGCTCAAGTGGTTTGGTGTGGCAGCACCATGCGAGAGGTCACTGGTTCGATATCCAGTGACTGCAACAAAAGTTAAAACCTTCGGGTACTGGTGTGCCGGGGTTCACCAGCACTGTCCTGCCAGACAGTGACGTCCCCCATCTTAGTAAGTTACGGTGTTTGTTAGAAACACACTATCTGAGTTAGAAACGTACGACGAGACGATTAGTAATGTACGACTAGACGATTACTAACGTAGAGTCAGAAAGAATTCAGTAGGCTTAGAGTAGCAACAGGAGGTTGTGAACTAAGGACCTAAATATATTCACTGTGCATTTTGCAAAACTTCGATCACTTCCTTTAAGTTTGTCCGTACCTATCCCATGAAATGAGCCAGTAAGGGGGTGAGTGATGCGACTTTGCTGATGAACTAAAGTGTAGACGAGAAGGAGACTGACATGATATATGACCAGGAAAAGATGCGCCTTGATGATACCTCGTCGCGTTTGATTCAGTTTTTGTTATTGAGAAGCTTGAATTTAATGTGTAGGGGGCAGAAAGCAGCATATATTTTATCTTAGTAATCGTATGTGAGTCATATTGGTCACATTCACTTTTGTGATACTATAAACATAAAGGTCACTTTCGGTCACTTGCCATCGGTCGGTAACTCACATACTTGTCCGCAATCGTGTGCCCTTCTTCATCAAATCACTAAGCAATCTTTCGCATTTCCGACTTACAATAAAGAGTGAAAGCTTGCAAGGATGCAGGTTTGGCTTCTTGGACAATTGGGCGATTAGCGTGATGGATCTCACCTGTCTGTAGCTTCAGGTATACTTACATTCCCAAAGAAATACGCCATAGGTGCCAGCCGTCGGTAGTAGCTCTGAGCTCAGGATGCCGTCTAGCTGCAAGCCATGCAGTTCGTAGTTGTTCGTGTTGCGGCTTTGAGGCAATGGTTTCAACAGACCAGTCCTATTAGGATCAGATATCGTCTGACCTGATATACCTGTTTTTACATCCGGATGTGATCCGACACAGGCTTGTAAACTGAGCAGACTCACGCATCTGGTAGGGCACTACGTGATGCAAGAGAGAGATCCCGTGCAGTTCCGAGTAAATACTAGCGCGGGTTGCAGGGACTGCTCAACATGATCGATGGCGCTCAGACTGGACAGTGTAACTTTTCTGGTCATTGCAACGTTTGTTTCGACTAGGTGCAAGCACGTATGAAGATGTTCTGGACCCGCTATTGGTCCAGAACATCTTCATACGTGCTTGCTCTGGACCCGCTCTTGGTGCTCTTCGCTTCGTGTCCATACATTGTGCCGTGATCAGCAAAGACTTTGAACCCTTGTCCGTCATACACGTCCGACAGCAATTCAATCAGGATCATCACTAGTTCACAGGGGTTCCCTCCGTCCTTCCTCTTTGTTTACGAGCAGTTCCAAATTTGCATCGTGCGAATCAACTAGAGCCAAGAAGCTCAACTCTGCTCTCCCACTCCTCTAGTGCCTCGGAGAGCACAGACCATCCATCCATCCTTTCGATGCTATTCTGTTTCTATCTTCTCGTGCTCGCACTCGTCGTGTCGATTAGCAGTGGCTCTCTCTCGGTTCCACCCGCTAATAAGTCGACCAAGCTACCAGCGCAGAACATGGACACCTCCATTCGGTCGGAGACAGACGGAAAACGCATGCCACGAGTGACCGACGTTTCCAATCAGTCCGTCCTTGAAGAAAGGCAGCCTGAAGCTGATGCGATAGTAGGAACTGTTAAAGCATATCTGAAGCAACTGCTTCAGTCCATGCGAGTCAAAGGGCCCCCATCCCAGGCGTTACAAGAAGAAACGTTGGCTGCCAAAGCGAGGAGCATCCCGACCCAGGAGGCTATGAGCTTGCTGGACCCTATGCATCCAAATCCTGATGAAAAATTTCAACAGGCTTGGCGGCTAGCAAGTGCTAATGCGGCGCATTTAGACTTGACGCGTGCCGGAGTCACTACACGAATGTATGCACTTGTTTTAAAAACCGAGGCGGGCCGCAAGAAGGGCCACATGTACGAGGAAGCAATGAAGAAGGCGAAAGCGTACAGAAATTTTAGAAGCAGTTACGACTTGGCACAAGTTCGAGCTACGATTGCCTCGTTTAAGGAGCATGTGGAGGAAAACCAAGCGCCTCACCTGCCTCCGTTGTAGAGGCACCACGCATATCAAGCATGTGCTGAGCTACTCGTCGCGTGCCTTGGAACTCATGGGTAGATAGAGCAACGTAAACTTCAATCACAATTTGATGGCGATGAAAACTTTCTGTAATCTAGCGTTGTGTTTTGTCTAGAACCCCAGGGCTAAGTCAATGTACAGCCGCCCTCCCTCACACTTAGCCTAATTGTTTACGGGCAGACAGCTGACGTATCCTGAATTTTACATTGCACACTGATCCGAGTCAAAGTCAATAGAGCCTCACTCCTTAATGAGTCGTTCCAAGTGCAAATCTCATTTGCCGGCCGTGCGATCACGAGCGCATACATCGGGTACGCCAGCGGTACAAAATTACGTGCAGTTAGCTTGTGAAAAAGTGATACGAAGTCAAGGTCTCGCAGCAAGCACGTAAAGCTGAGGCGGTACGAGTATTAGTAAGGCTGTAATGGTGTAATGCTGGAGGATTAGGGCAGCGAAAGGGTACGTAAGTAGTAATGAGTACTGTTCCGTTTGGGTCGGATCGGAGGTTAGGGCATGAGTTGCGAAAGCAAAGTAATGTACCTGCTGTACAAAACCTAGACAGGGATCCTGGTAGAAAAAGGCTCTCATTTCTTACGTCTGGTCAGTCGGGAAAGTCTATATTCCCTAATCGTGTTCAATTCAATCCACCATACTTAAGGACTTGGCTTGATCATGACCTTGCTTGCGTCTTCTGTACCTTCAACTCAGCTGCTGCTGCTGCTGACCATCTTCTTGAGCAGCATCTTGCAGTGCAACATGCTGCTAGTAACCTCAACGTCTTATAGTTCGTTGGATATTTTTGCCTGGCTGTCGATTAGTGGGCGAATACGCACCGGAGACAGAGATCGACGTAAACGTCGATAAACACTTCGAAGTTGCGCACAGAAAACAAGTCGTGGAGAACTGAGAGATTGGCCGGGACTCGAGCCAGCTTTTTGTGGTGCACGCTGAAGGAGTCTATCGACAACGATTGACGATGTTTGGAAGCAACTACGAGGTGCAGTCGATACTAATGGGCCCGCCTGTTTACACACCTGATGAAGCGATCGTGCGATAATTTATGTGTGCTGCATCGTATCATGGCACGACCGCCGCATCATTCCTACACATAGACTCTCATACTGTACGTAGCGTAAGGTTGTTCGAGCTAGGTTTACGATGTACGTAAAATGGTACGTGAGTGCTTCGAGAAAGCGTCAGCACGATCAGATTTCGACGCAAGGTGACGTTAGTTAGCACCCGTCGTGCGCGTAACAGTCGTGTTGTACTCGCGACGTACCGAATGAATATGCAACTTTCACACTGTAATGCACCGGAAGTAACGCTAAATTGTCCTGAAGTGCGTGTGAAGCGGAGTCTCGACAGTGCTGTTCTTTAGAGAGCGACGACGAAACACTGATTCATGGTCAAAAGTGACCGGCAACCAAACTTTCCTCGGTACCATGCAGAGGAGGTACCTCTGTACTACGAAGTCTACATCGCTGCACGATGGACGGAATGACCAAATGAATCACGAGATGTGCTTCGACGCGCTGCGCGAGCCAAAATTTGGCACGAAAGAGCACGAGATTGTGAGGTCCGTCTAAAGTGTGGGAATTTGTCATGTTATGCTTTGCATTACAACGTCGAGTGAAGCGCCACGAGTCGAGCAGCGAAATCGCGAGAAAGACAAAGAAGCAAGTGGCGTTGCACTCGATCAAGGCGGTTACACAGTTTCATACTTGAGTCTACATGCAGGAGGATCTTCGGTCCAGCGCTGGGTTCAAGTCGTCGCAGATTTCCAATACCGCTCGGCTGTCTGCTTGTTCGACGCCTTCTCCGTGTTCACTGGCATCGCCCCGTTTGTCGATGGTAATAAATCTTCCCGTAACTGGATCAACCCCATTCCTATGATACGAGTCACGCCTGCACGCAAAAATGCTATGAATCGTGATATATGCGACAACAAACGACCGCTACGTCGATTTCAAAGTCTGACATTTGACTGCTGTCACGCCAAAAGTGGCAGGTAAGTATGCCTGGAATCGAACTCTGGGAGTCACTACATCCTCGCGTACTTGCTTGGCATTAGGTCGTACTAGGATCTGCCGCAGAAAGCACGCGCTTCAATGGTCGTACCATGAAGTCGGATCGCAGTTCTGGGATGGAATCTACCGACTTGGCGACGTCGAATCGTACAGAGCACTTGCTTTGCTTGTTCCTACCTAGCTCTAAGAGAACACTCGCCTCACTTCTTTTCGATAAACGTTGTGCCCTCCAATCTGGGAGATGCTCTGATTTGACGACGAGAAACGGCGGCAGTTAGGATCGCCAGCGAACGCCGTTCATCTCTTTTTTTTCGGGCAGCCTTAGTCGCCCGACCCGTTAGCAACCCTGTAATGTTTGTCGCAGCAGCGTCTCGTAGTCGAAGGTCATTGTCGGGCAGATCAGAGTGATTAGCAGCAAGGCGCTGCTCTCTGGAAAGTCATCGTGCCTGCCCGCCTCTCCACTCGTGTCCGTCCCTGTCTGCCACCCGTCCGTCACGTCTGCAAAGACAAGAGACTAAGGTACCAGCGAGCAAGCGAGCAATTGTCCACTTCGGCAGCTCATTCATTCTGCATTCCGCTCCTCACTTCCGACGACCACAACTGAGTGTTTTCCATCCTACTAACAACCTTCCGTCTACTATCATCACCATGACTCAAGTAGAGATCCGCACCGTGAGTCCCGTTGGCAGCCCCATGTGCCCGAGTGCCATTGCCTCGCCCTGGACCAAGGATGGCACGTACATCATCGAGGCCACGCGCAAGGCCCACGCCTGTTGCAAGTCGTGCGATGCCACGATCGACGCGGGTCGCTTACGTGTCGGTGTCGTCTATCAACACCGTAACGGCTTCGTGTGCATCAACTGGCATCACGTCGAGTGCTACAAGGCTGTGAGCGAGATCCCGCTCCAGTGTCTAGAAGGCTTTAGTGACCTCAATCCACAGCAACAAGAGGTGGTCGAGAGTTACCACCGACTCGCGAACATCGAGCCGCACTATCTGCCACCGGCCCGCAGCTGCTTAACATGAGCTACAAAAAAACAGGGGCTGACCCGCTCCGGGGGCTAGTGGGAGGAGAGTCTTCTCTATTATTGCCCTATCTGTCGTCTCTCTCTCTCTCGCTATCGTGGAGAATTGGAGGCGAAGATGAAGATGTAGGTAGACAGCACGACTGACTGTGCTATTATTTAAGGAGTGCCACTAGACCAATACGAGGACGTAGGCAAATGCGCATGTAATCTACCCGACGAGCGATACGGGCGAGTCTACGATAAATATAGAGAGAAACAACCCCCTGTGCACTTTCCTACCACTTTTTGGCGTTTCGAGATCCAGTTAACAACGAGCCTCTCAAACGGCACTGAGGAGCGAGCGAGCCATCGGGCACTTTGTTAGCAAGCCCAATTTGCAAGCAATTCACACCGAATACGCACGATATCACACTGGCGAAGGTATCGATGCAGTAACCGAAGCATTTCGCACAAAAGTAACGGTTTCTCCTTGTTCTGTACATCACGACGACAATCTCGACGGCACGATGAAGTCTGAAGTAGCAGGGCCAAAAATCACAATTCATGACAAAAAAATAACCTGCAGACTCGCTGGAATCGGAATTTGCCCCGTCGCATACTGAAGCCTCGTGCTTTTTTCCCACTCGACTCTAAATTTGTCACGATCGTCGTCCTCGAGTCTTGTAATTGTCCGCCCTGAAATCCATCCATACAAACTCCAGCATTGTTTCGCACCCCGAAGTCCGTCATTTTCAGGCGACGATTCGTTCTGCGTAACATCTAACGCCCCATTGGCGAGCAATGGACGTGCAAATGGAAGACCGCAGTGGCGGCAATGCGTCGCATGAGGAGAAGTTCCGCGTGTACAATAGTGCACTCCAGCACGCAGCAACGTGCGGTGAGTCCAAGTGCGAGGCGCTCAGCGGTCGCTGTCACAAGGTCAAGGCCAGTATCGACCACTTTGTGCGGTGTTATGGCCCCCGACGCAAGGTTTCTCCTATCGAGAGGTGCGACGTCATGTCTTACTTTATATTCTATGCCGCCTTTGGTTCTACATGTTATTGGACTCCTTTATTTTAATATTGTTCCACTTGTTACAATTCTTATTTAATACTACTTTTTTTGGGTCTTTTTTGCAGCTGTGCTATGTGTTCCAAAATTTGGGGCCTGCTCTGTTTTCATGCGAAAACGTGTGAGGTGCCTCTGGGCCAACGCTGTGCCGTGTCACAGTGTGACTATTTACGGGACAAAATCGCTCGTAAACGCGAGAGCGACCGACGGGAGCTGCAGGAAGCCAAGGCCAAGGTCCAAATCAAGTTTGAAGAGTGGCCAGTGGAGAGACGGATTGCACAGGTGGAAGCCGATCGACAGCAAGTTTTGCAGCTTATTGCGGATATTCGAGCGGGGAAAGCGCGTCAGCTGCAACAAATGCAAGTTCAACAGCAGCAGCGGCCGATGATGTCCAGGAGCTGAAAGGGGTGAGAAGGCAATATGTTAATAGGGGCACTGCGCATTGTTCGCTCGATCATCTATCTCTATCTATCTATCTATCTATCTATTGGGTTCCTCTCTACTGTGAGATCTGTGCTGCAGTTGCCATGGATGAACTTTTGTGTATGCTAATTTGCAGAAGTTTTGTATGGATGAAGGAATGTTTTAGCTTGCTGTTTTGCTGCCGTTATATGAAGGAGGTGTACGGATGACAAGTAGGCAGGTCCCATTTGGTGTACTTGCGGTGGTGGAGGATACTAAGGCCGTTTCCTTTGACTTTTTCGACATCGATTGGACTGCATGGCATGCAAACATGAAATGAGTGTGCAGTGGTTGTCAAGGAGAGCATGCTGGTTGACGTGAAAGGGCAGCTGTAAGAAGCAGCTTAATGAGGGAGCCGGAAAAATTTGAACTACTATGACTAGAACTGGGCACCTGGACAATCATTGAGGTCTGCCGCCAGCCGCGCCAGCAACGTACAAGTGAAATGACAGTGTTGTAATTGGCTTTACGTATCGTCGTTGCCGGCATTGACAAGGTAGCTGCGGTTGCTATGCGAGACGGGAGACAACATAAATGGCTTGTCTTTGAAAACAGTGACGATACGTTATCGTGGAGAAATGCGCTGCGATGGTGTAGACAATGCCGTAACTGGCAATGTCACTGTCACGCGTAAGACTTCATACGACAACGCAAAAGCAGAGTCGGAAGTTTGATCTCAATTTGTTCGTCTGTAAGGCATGGGTATGTTCTGTGTCCGAACACGCGATGCCAATGTGGCTAGGAGAAAAGCTGAAGTCTCCTGATTTACAAGACTCCGACCGCATACTATCACGTATGATTTGCGGAGGTGGTCAAACGTACAGGTCAACAAGTGGAAGTGAAAGGTGGTGACAAGATGCCAAGCTGGTTGCTAGATGCTATCGCATCCGATCGTGCATAGCAGAACGAAGTGGCTTAATGCTTGGGCATTCGAGCACTTTTCCGGATGATGGCTCGGTAGTGTATCACACGTACCACAGGAAAGATTAAGAAGTCGTCAGCTGGAGATATACGATGCTTAAATTTGCGGTGACTGAGCAATTGGATGGAATTCGGCTACTCAAAGTTAAGCATTGAAGGTATGACACGGCGTCACGTTCTTCCGTCAATTTTGAAGACTGATTATCTACAGTGTGCGCTCTCTGCTGACTGTCTCGTAAACTGTATACTTGCTGTTCGACGAGCGAAAAAGCGACTTGGACGTCGCGTCTACGAGCTCAGGTTTAGCAACTGAATCTTGGAAATGGGTGTTCATCTTTGCCACGGCTGGCTTTGCGCTATTGCACGGTGGTGGATAGGTTTTTCTGCGCACCAAGTTTATCAATTTCGTGCCATTGTGCATTTCTATGGCCTCGTATGATACGCTGACTGGCTCTGTGCGGAAAGCACTCAAGGCTTGCCGTGCAACTGGAATGATGGTTTTGCAATCGAGCAGATAATAGGTGTGAAGAACGAAATCGTCAGTCTTTTGGAAACAGATGACCGCGTGTAAGCAAGTCGGTGCGGGCTAGCGGTTCTCACTGATTATCACGTCGTCCAGCAGTGTTGCCTACACTCGCATGTGGCGAGTACTTACGAGGGCCAGCTTTCATGAGATGCTGTGTGGAATATGTCGACCACGATGCGACTTTTCCGAGTTTCACAGCAGACAATGTCTGGACATGAAGATTTATTTATGGCGAGTTGAATGACGGAGATGGTGTATCCCGTACTGTTTTACTTCACTGCACCAAAGTATGTTGGCTGATTACATAAATTTTCGTGAGGTACTAAGTCATGTAGTGTGAAGAGTTTAAGACCGTGGGTTGGTGTTCAGTTCAACAAAGCACTTGTGCTCTCAACCACATTGGCGCATATCTACAAATTCAAGCATTTAAGAATACTTAGCAGAGTACTCACTCGTGTTCAAGAGTCGTTGACACGTGTCACTTATTTCGGACGAAGCTTCAGCATGGATAACTATGTGCAGTACAATACCGGCAAACACGCGGAAGTTACAAAATACGTATGCAATGGTAGATGTGACGCCCACGTCACGAGATGCAAAGATGTCCACGAGCATCCGCGTCAAGCTTTCAAGCTTGGTGAGACAAGATCAAGCGTATCACGCAGAAACGACATGGGCTACCTTGCTGTCTATACAAGCGCACCAAATTCAACTCGACCCGGTCACGTTCCTCGTTTTGCAGTCCAGTTGACAAGTGACCAGGTCGTGAACGACACGTCCCAAATGTTGATCTTCTTCATGAAGCAAGGACATTATGGCTGTAGCTACCATATTTCGCAGAAAAACGTAGGTGGTCTGGTCGAAAGGCAGTCGAAGTGATCATTTTTCGTCAGCTCTAATCCTGATGCTGCCTCTTAGAAACAGCTTAAGTTTGGAGATGTAACTGCGTGCCTCCTGATGTCCTCCGTCACTAACCGAATTGTTAAATAGACTGTACCTACGAACGTAATGTACGCCAAAACTCTTTCTTGCGTCCCACACTGGATCTAATGTGTCCAAAAAGCTCCGACTGAACTTCGCAACCTTTCGGTAAAAATTAAGAGCGACCTCACGTGCCTTAGAGCTTCAAAAATGACCGACATAGTAAGTCGTGCCATTGTACGACATCATGGACCTTCAAACTCCTTTGTAAATATCTTAAATAGCTGCAAAACGTAGCGTCGGTAGAAAATTCTTGGCCACAGAAGTCTTGCGAGATGTCAACAAGCTTCAATGCACAAGTCCTGATGCACCGTCAACGAGCCCAAAGGAAGGTTGCGGCAAGTTTTGATCGAAAGTATCGACGTGAAGTGCAGCCACGTTAGACATCGCAGTGCGTTTACGTACAGCTGATAACGGCATCGATATTGATGTGAAAATGAAGCCAGCACTTGCTCTGCAGCAACAACAATCCAAAGGTACCGATTTGCTTGCTGTAGGTGGGATCTGTTGCGTCCCTACAATGTCATGGCATAGTCATGGCTGAGAAAGCGTGCTTGATACATCATGTTAGAGCAGTTGCGGGGTTGGTTTGGTAGATAGGGTTTTTGCTAAAGATGCGACAACTGAGATAGGAATGACAGCAGATCCGTTGGATGAGCTGATGATCGGTAATCAGCTGCGTAATGAGAAAGCGTTGAAGTGGTGCTTTACGATAATGAGCAGAAGTGGGAGAAGTAGCTGTGATGTTCAATCAGGCAATACTGATGCTTAGTCGCTCAACGAACGACCATATCGTTCGTATGCTACATCAGAAATACAAATGAACTCAACCAAGCATTGTTGCTTCGAGAAAACGTCGGAGCCAGCCGAAGTCTAGCAAAGTAGACATGAGGTCAAATGCCTACCATGGACAACCTGTGCGTAGCTTATACCCCGTGACAAGTGCGGAGCGAGTTCTCTACACCTACTTGTCTCAAAAATAATCAGCTCATCTTTTTTTGGAGCAGTGAACTCAATCAGACTCGACGAAAACGAAAGTGGCAGTCAAGAGCTCATTGCCGGAACGCCATGTGATCACATACAATCAATTGATGAGGGAGGACATTTCACGGATTGCAAGAAGAGCTGACAGGCTGTCTTACCCGATCATTATCACATCAAGATCCATATTCGATGGACGCGTATATATCCACTTTTGTCAGAATAGATGGGTCAGCTTCAAGCACGCTGTTTCCTCAACCGAAGAGGGATGCTATTGCATTTTAAACGCGTTGCGATGGCTGTTCCATCTACAAGTTTACAGGTTTCCGCTATACCTTGCCATGTAGTAGCGTAACCCAGGCTGTCGCAATCGAGGTTAGATATGTACGTTCAGCACCTGTAATGTTTCTCCAGCAATAGTTATTATCACTTCGTATGCGTGACGTTGAGGAAAGGCAAAGTCATTTGTGCCTTTTCGTCTTTAATTTCTCATGAAAAGAGGATTCGTATCTTGTAGCAGAACAAGTCATAGCCGGGTGACTTTGAGTGCTACACGATTTGTTCTCTGCTCTTGGTGTGTACTGCGGCCCTATTTGGTTTTTATTTACATCTGTTGATCCAGATCTCATCTCCTTGAAAAAGCTGTTCTTCATGACTCTATCCATTTGACAAGGCTGAGGTGGAAGACAAGCCCACACGTACATCATACATCACAGTAACATTTAGCCTGAGACATCGTGCGTGAGCCATAAATGCGCTCAAATTAAATACTGATGAAGTTGCTGGTCGAACGTGTGGTCACTTCTTCGGTGGTTTCGTGTCGTGAACCACCGCTAAAGGCAGATCAGCGTCTTCCAATCCACCAAGTAAGCAAACAAAAGAGTCCTGCCCCTTTTGCAGAACCAAGTATCAAGGACGACTTCCTGAAAGAGTGCCACGAACATACCAGGAACTGACACGCGGATCGAAAGTTGCAAGCGCGAGACCTGTTCGGAGAGGGTCGGCACTAAGGTGCCGCACCAAGAAAAAGTGTAGCGCAGGAACCTATTGACGGTCCGACTTTAGGTCTTGAGCGCGTGCAGTCGAGCCACGTATCGGCAAATAAAAAAGTAGCAATGACCAAAGATATGGGAGGAAAGAAGTCCATGTAATGGGGACAAATGCGAAGTACGATAAACTTGATGATGATCAAGCAGAGGGTAGAGATGACTCAAAGTCCGTCAATAATCCTGACGTCACTACTATCTGAGTAGAGGCACTACCTACCAAAAAAGAGGGTCCAACATGTCCGAGTGTTTGTACCTATACCCGACGCGACAGCAGCGACAATGAGACGTACCCATCCGCACGTGGCAACTGTACCATGACCAATCGAAATAGATCGGAAAAAAAAGAGGCAGCAGAAAGCCAGTTCATTGCCCTTGCAGCGGCACAAGCACTCGCCGCCCAACCCCCCCCCGGCTACAAAGCCTCGACGTCCCTCTTGCCTCCCGTCTTGTGCACGAGCCGCGTCTGCTCAATCACAATCTCGTGACTCAACGCTTTGCACATGTCGTAAACACACAGCGCGGCCACGGAGGCGCCAGTGAGCGCTTCCATTTCGACGCCCGTTTTATGCGTCACCTGCACGTGACATTCGATATCGATCGCATCTGGCTCGCGCACGTCGAGTCGCACGTGGCAGTTCTCTAGGGACAGCGGGTGGCAGAAAGGCAAGAGCGCGCTCGTCTGTTTTGCGCCCAAGATCCCTGCGATGACGGCAGTCGTGATGATGGGACCTTTGGAACTTGATAAAACCGACGTTTTAGCACTGTCGCCCTGTTGAATTGCAGCTAAAACCGCCGGGGGAAAGCGGACAGTCGAGCGAGCGGTGGCCGCGCGTCGCGTGGCCGGTTTCGAACTTACGTCGACCATACACGGCGTGGTTCCTTCTTTGTTCACGTGCGTGAGCTGGTTCCATGGCACGCCAGACGTGGACGACAGCGCGCGCGTCATAGGAACTCGGAGGCGGGAAAGCATGCGGACAAGTGAGTGGGGACCGTGGTTATCGTGACGGAATGCGGCTAGAATTGTAAATAAGGAATATGTAGACAAAGTGGTCGAGCTGCAAAGGGATGGTGTAAAAAAGACGAATAGTACTGAGTTAGCATTTTTGAATCTGGAAAAAAAAAAGGAGGGGCGAAGGAAGTCGACGGGTCGTGCGTGACCCTCTTGAAATCGATACAATCTTACAACAGCGCAAAATCACTTTTTCGTTCAGGACTCGACTCAATTAGCGCCGTGTCACTAAACGCGCCGACCCTAACGGCTCTATCTATCTATCCGTCGCTCTATCGAAGCAAAACCTCCTTAAGTAAGAACACAAGGAGCCAGCCAGCGGCCGTCAGTCCCCGACGCACTCCCTCTCTTTCTCTCTCTCGCCTGCGTCACGCACGCGCCGCTCCGCTCCACCTGCGCTCTCCATGGCGATGGCCCAGTTCGCATCGTCCGCTTCGAGCGCCACTCCGGGTCTCGGCGCCACGAACAAGACGGAGATTCAGACGCTGTTAAGCCAATTCGACGTCCAGATCAACAGCATGAAGGACTATCCTGCAAAAGACACGATAAACGCACTGACGATGTTGGCCGAGCAGCGACTGGAGTTTGCGCCGGAGATTGTTAGTTTCTTGGAAACGAAGATCCATCGGGTAATGGCTCGTCTCCACCTCCTTCTCCTAACACAGCACTTTGTGTCTTGAACGTGTGCTCCCTCTCCTCTTCCTCTCGTTGTCCACCTCGCTCGCTATCTATATGTACATATCCTGTTTTTCTATCCTGTTTTTCTATGCTGTTTTTGTACGACCGTCTGGGTCCGATGATGGCGGTGGGAAAAAAGGACCTGTCTATGCGCCAGGGGCTCGCTTCGATACGATGATGATGACGCTTGATTACGAAGAGCTGCCTCATACCATCCGTCATCTTCCTATTGAGCAGAACATTTCCATGTTGTAAAGGACAGAGAGAGATGGAGAGACTGCACGTTCAGTTGAGGAACGAACCTGCTGCAATGATCGACGAACTCATCGTACTTTGTGGTGTGCTGGATGTGGTGTCTGTTCATTGCCAGGTTGCGCCCAATTGCAAGCTGCCGATCTTTTACTTGACTGATTCCATCCTGAAGAACGTCCGAGGGCCGTACTTGTCGCTATTTGCAGGCAAGATTGTACTGCTTTATTGCAATTGCGTGCGGCAGGTAATTCAGTCGTTTTTTTTATTATTATTGTTGCTCGAACAAAGTTCATGGGATCATGTTGTTGAAGCTGTCGCAGTTGTTAATGTATGAATGGATGGTGTGATGTTTTATTTGGAGCAGGTATCGGGCAAAGATCTCAGGCGCTTCATCCATGTGCTGAATACGTGGGAAGCCACGCGGCTGTTTAGCAAAGAGTCTACGGTGCAAATGCGCAGTGCCGCGCACCGTGCCCTGCAGCAGGCCGATCCCTTAGCGCACTCCGTGCCTGCGAGTATTAATCAGGAAAAGTCGTTGCACGTGTCTGCGAGTGTTGATTCTAGTGCAAAGTTGGCGCAGCAGCAGCAGGATATGGAGCTGCGGTCGCTCTTGACGACACTGCAGAATGACATGAGTATTCACCCGACCGAGCACATGAGTCTTGAAGAAGTACGTACGAATAACCCAGAGTATTTCAACCAGCTGCTTGAGTTCCACGCTTCTTCGACGGGTAAACAAACAAGTCCACCGCGAGGGCTTGATGCAGCTAGTGCACCCCCTCAAAGCACGAAGCCGCAGCCTCCTTTGCAACAAGCTACTGCAACCAGAGACTTTCGGTATCCTGCTTCTTCTCATGATGCACGGACCAAGGCAAGCTTGGCGGTCAAAGCCCATCCAACATCTACTGGACAAGCTGGCAGTCAAAGAGGTTCCGAAGGTGGTGTTGGCGCAGCAGCAAAATCGTCGAATGTTGCTCATCTGATGCAATTGCTTAAGCGCAAGCAGCGCGCTCCCTCTCCACCGCAGCAATCAGCTCACGAGAGTACTAATGACGTTCCTTGTGCCCCTAACGCAGCTGCTGTCATGTCCATTCTGCAGAAGCTGAAGGGAATGTCGAGCGGAGGTGCTGCGTCTGGATTGCCAACAGCTCAAGTGCAATCTCAGCAATCTCGGCAGCCGCAGCCGCCACAGCAACAGCAACGCAGTGACAATGCTTCCCGCATGTGGTTCAGCGATAAGGTCGTGGCTCACAAGGATCGTGTCGAGTCGAACGTGCAAAAGTTGTACGCAGCATTGCCACTCGTGTGTCGCGAGAGTGGGTTACGCTTTCGTGAGCAAGCTCATTTGGATGCCCATTTGGACTTCCTTTTCCAATACAATCGTGCCCGAAAAGAGCGAGGCAAAGGAGGCACTTCACGATCATGGTACCCGGACGAAGACCGGTGGGTGGCCGATTTCTTTGGTGATACTGCACCCCGCGAGAGCACCAGTAGCAGCTTCTTTGATCGCGCGCAACAGGAAAATGAAAAGAATGCGGGCGAACAGGCCACGTGGGAAAATGCTCGAGTAGCGGTCGACGAGTCCATCACGCGCTGCCAAATATGCGGCGAGAATTTTGCAAAAAGCTGGGATGAAGAGGAAGAGGATTGGATGTACACGAACGCGGTTACCGGCACGATCCATAACACTGGTCCTAACGGTAATGAGGAGCAGGACACGATTTTCCACAAGTATTGCTACGATACAGTGTTAGCAAACTCGACACATGTCACGCCCGCACATTTAATTCCTGCAGAGAGAAGTACTGCAGTTAATATGGCGGGTTCAAACGATAGTATGGATGGCAGCAGTAGTGGCGTGAAGCGATCATTCGGAGAGGTGCGTATAGACGATTGTGGTACAGAACTTATTTTGATCGGACTTTTGATTGACAAGCGCTGGTGTTGTGTGGGTTGTAGGACGACACCGATAGCGACGGCGACGATGATGTGAAGCGAGTGAAAACTCTCTGAGTTTTGGAAGCGAAGCTGGAGGACAGAATGACATGCAATGTCACGAGATGTAACGATAAAAGAGTTTGATACTTGTATTTGCTGGTGCGGTGCTCCGCCGAGGGTCAACTACTGCAGGTTCCATCTCGTATTGTTTGCTGTCCATTTCTTCAGCTTCCAACGCGACATTTAGTAGTACTATGCATTAATACACACGTCACTTTTGCACTACTCGTGTTTGACATACGCTATCATGGTGTGAGACTACTCTCAGCTTGAACGCTGATTACTGAAGTGCTTTTTCTGCGGTTGCTCACGACCATTTCCATTTAGTCACACATACGCACTCATCCGTTTTTCATCACAAGAATGTACGAAAGTCGTATGAGAAACACAATTGTATCGCATTTTCAGAGCCAAGACAGCCGTGCGTGACTCAAGTTGTGAGATGAAGCGGTTCAGGATAAGGATGATTCGATGCCTCTGACGCGTGAATTTGACTGAACAATGTAAGCGGATACAACAAGAACGTCTTCATTTCGAGCGCTACATAGATTTCCCTCGCAGCACACAATCCATCACAGCGGTTGTTCTAGTTTTCGTGCCGATAGCTTTATGCGTAGAGGTTACAACCTCTCGTTTTTGCGTGTGAGATGTGTGCTAAAATTGCATACCATCGGTCCGCGTGATCCACGAGTCGAACAAACTCACATTACGACAGAATCGCTCCAGGCGCCGATAATTCAATCGATCAACAATGGTAAGACCTACGCTAAACTCTGTCATTAGATGTCAAGCTAAACGCTGTCTAATTCGTCTTTAGTCACACTGATGTGCATTGCTTGTACTCGAAACAATAATTGTATCATTCGATATCCCCGAGCACGGTATTGCAACCCCTCGCACGCATCAGACTGTCTGTTTCAATGCGCTGGCCGCATATTTCAATACAATTTGCCGCGCAACTTGCTGCTTTTAATGAAACGAAGAGCGCATCATATGTGTCGGTGTCCTCAAGACCCGCTCATGATTGATTGTTGAAGTTTATCTAAACCCTTGTGGTCAAGACTTTTCGATGGTACCAGATATGTGTCGAATGTCTTGTCAGTCTGGTTACATGTCTTTTCAAGGGACAATCTATCCTACGCGAAGAAGCTCATCCGTCAACGTTACCTACTTTTACCGGCAGATCTGTCTTTTGCTGTCGGAACTTCAGTGGAATAGAAGATGCGGTACACCCAGTAGCGCGTTGGTAATGAAGCTACTTCCGGCAAAAGCGTGCAAAAAAACCTGGTTACTTTGCAGTCTAGAGATCGAATATGCCTAGGCCACACAACGATGAAAGCTCAGCTATTGATTGACAGCAAGGTACTCATCTACTCAGCCGCCCAAACTCGTTCCATGACCGCGTATGCGTCAAATCATAACTGGTGGTCCTGACTCGCGTACACCAAGCAGTCAGAGTGGAAGAATAATAAACTGTGCATGTCACTGCTCCAGCACCTTAGACGAAATCGGCAAGGACGGGGGTAACGACGAAAGGTTTCAACGCGATTTGGTGATGATTGTACCAATAAACCACCTGAGAGTAATTAACTATCCATTCTTCATCTACCATTTTGCCCTCTGCAACGACAACGGAGCTAGTGATGTAAACGTTGTGCACTCCTTCAAGATAATCGGTTCCTACGGCGATAATGTTGTCGGACGGTCGTTTGCGGAGAAAAGGAAGCTGACGTGGTGTCACCAGTACTCAATATTGCTTATCCAACCAGTTGGCATCGAGCATTGGAAAATGTACCTACGTAACAACACCAAAGCCAGGCGTATTTGCTGGGCCACTAGCGCGCATTGATGACGGCAGCAAATCCAAATGAGGTGACTGTGCAGCAGACAGCGCAGCTTTTTTAGCTGTAGTTGTCCGAATCGCAGATCTTATGTTGGTCTACAAGGGGATGCTAAGCTCGACTATCACCGTTGCTGTTGGAGCTGCTGGCCTGCTGGTATCTACACATATTGTAATGGCCGTGCTTTCTTCAACTTGTTGCCTTAACACAAGAAGCCAGTGCTGATGTGCGCTTTTCATGCATTACATGTATCCAATGCCCAACTAGCACGGGTGGTGCGAACACAGCTTGCACCTTGCAATAAATTTTAACTTGAATTCTCCGCCTTCATTGCAACCTTGTAGCTTCAGCAGCAGCAGATCGTAACGTCTGACAGACATCCCGTCTTGACCTTGTCAGCCTTATTCACTAACGGCAGTAACTACCACTCTTGGAGCTTTCCACTTGCGTAATGCATGTGTAATTACCCCAAGATCATCAGAAGAGCGACACGTGCTGACCTCGGCTATCGAGAGAGCAAAATGACGACATTACTATGGCATACCATCCCACTCACGTCGTGATACATGCGATTACGAAATCGTTCAAGCCGAGCGCTCTTATACAAACACCGCAGCTTCGTTCCAAGCTTTGTCCTGCCCCTGTTTCCCGAACTCGCTCGTAGTAGAAGCAAAAGTGTCGACAGTACAAAGTGACCTCTTTTTTTTAACATTTACCGAACTCGTTTTCAGAAAAGAGAACCAAATGTATCTAGAAAACTACCGAGGAGCTCCGATCGTTCTCGAAAGGTCCTACCTACCGCCTCAAACAGTCGTTCTCTCTATCGAATGTCCTCCTTGTCATTGTCCACGGCAGCCACAAGCTGCTTCAACTCTTGCCACAATTGTTCGCGGGCTTCGCCTTCGACGGCCCCATCTAGCTTGGCACTGCGCTCGTTGCCGTCCTTGGCGAACCACACGTGCGTAATGTGTGTATCTCCTTCCGGGAGCGGTAGCGCGTGTTTATCTTCGATCCACAAGGGGGGACCCTTAGCCACGAGACGTCGTAGCTCGGCTTTGCAGTCCGTTTCTTGCACTTTTTTCATAAAAGTGTGGAATTGCGTGGCCAGCAGCTGCTCGACGACGTCCGAGCAGAAGGAAGCGGCGTGCCACGACCGACTGGGGAACGTCTGGAACTCACAGTAGTTCCCGTCTTCCTCGGTGATGTCGTCCATTGTTGCCATGCATTCGAGACCGGCACGGGGCTTCCCATGTGTCTTCATGGGCAGCTAATTAGTCTGAACCTTAGTATGGTCCCACACACAAGGAAAAGCTCGTCTTTTTGGCTGGAGGGGTTCGATCGGTTTGGCTGTATATTTTTTATATTCCGAGGGGGGGTGCCACCGATCAGAAACTATGATAAAGTAGAGAGACGAAGTGGGAGCGGAGAATATATTACCGTATTTTATAATGAAAGAAATTGGTAAAATACGAGGTTTTTGTCGAAAGACGTGTTCTTCCGATCGGAACTTAGGACCGGATTTACTGAGGCTACACACCACTATCGACAAGGTTTACCTCATGTGTGAGATTGAGCCGCCAGATTCCCACTACTTTTGTTCTTGACTTTCTCGCTTGCACGTGCCATTTTCATGCACTGGAAGCACAATTTATGGAGCGTTTTCGTCGCAGCGAGCAGTTGCATCAGACGTGAGTCGTACTCTTATACACGCAATTATGTGACGAGTTCAGGGTGGTTCGAAGATATAAAGTATGCCAAACGGTCGTACACATTTTCTCCACCGATATCTGAGTTAATATGCTTGTGCATTGAAGCTTTCATTCGTAAGTAATTTCATTGATAACACGTGCGTTACTTCTATTTACAGATGGTGAATAAAGCTATCGCTGGACATCAGCGGTGAGCTATGGCATGACGTGTACCTTTCTGCTTGATTTGGCAATCATGGAGCTTTTTACGCAGCGCTTCAGATTACACGCTGACCGTGCGCTTGTAGTAGCACGTTATCTCTTGTTTTTACTATAGCCACCACTGTGTTTTACTAGATTACCATGCTGCACGGTAAGATACCCCTGTTTTATTCGCATCATTGCCTGTCATGTATAGCAATGCAGTTTTGATTCTTCTTTGTTTGGGACAATTTAGCACGTCTTTGTCCATCACGCTCATGCTAGATACGCGTTGAAGACGTCACTGGTTGGTATATACTAGCCCTATGAGTGTGCACCTTCGTCTTATCTAAAACATACGTTCGTTCATTTGTTTCTGTCTCGCATATGGATTCAAAGTGTGCTCTAAGCTAGAATGTAAGTGTAGATGTACAATCTTGCAGTACATGAAGCGGTCACAAAATCAATACAAATCCTGCTGCTATTACTAGCTTTGTCACATGGTAGGTCCGATTGCTTTCAGTCAACCGGTGTACATTTGTGAAACTGTGATGCTCCATCTTTCATGTAATATGCATTGGAAAGTGACAAGGGAACGCTTAGACTTTAAATACGGTGAAGGGTGATAATCTCAATATTATACGCATATTCGGGTAATGATTTACCCCCCCTTTTCTACTTTTTACCCCCCTCTGAAACCAAAGCAGGATGCATTCTACAATTTACATCGAATCAATGTCAGCAACTATGTCGTTTACTCCTACAAAGTGTGTCGACTACACAATAACACTGCTGCACCCAAATCGATCGGCACGGAGATGATGAAATCTGTGGTTTCTTTGAAGTCAAGTATCCGCCAGCAGAGGCAAAGTTCATGGCTTTTCATTCAAAGCGCACACGCATATTTTTTGTCGGTTTTGATGTTCTGGTGCGATTGTCCACAATTTGCTTGTTCCCAATCATTATCGGAAGAGTGCTGTAGGCGCGGTATTGCATATCTTGAGGCCTTCTTTCGCTTCTTGTTTTCTTCTACTTGCGCTAACTCATAGGGCACTCAGCAAGATCATGTTCCAGCATGCAGTACGTTTTGTCCGCAACTTCTCTCGCTGCACTATAAGAAAGCCTTTTTCACCTTCGAAGGAAGCGAAGTACCCATCTGCACAGCAGTGGACCACTGTAGTGGAGCTACGCAGCTCTTAGTAGAGGAATACTTACGACTCCAGAAGTCACGTAGTGCGACGGAACTACGTTCGTTCCTATTAGCTCCAGTAATCTATAACGTTTGGAAATCATCAACAAAGACTTGGAGAGTCTTCAACTCGTATAACTTCTAGTCTTGATTCAAGGGACAAACAATGACTCAACGAATCGTATGCACGATGTGATCTAGAGTGTACGCCACAAGCTGGATCATAGTCTAGAGGATCTACTGACGTATAGACCCGACACGTGTCAATCGAAGATCAAAAGGGGAACTGAACTTTCATTTCGTACTTTTGTCTGTAGTAAATCTCATTCGACTGCCTAATACTAAGGTTCAGCTGATTCGCATATTGATCTTCATTTTGTTTGAGAGTGACGGATAGTACATCAATCTGTCATCAATGGATGAGTGAGGTCCTTAAACAAATCAATTATCAAAGATAATACTCGGGATGTATATCACATACACAAAGTATATCCCTTTTGGGAGACAACAGTCGTGTGACCCCGTCACAACCACTATTAATTCCTCTACAGAGATCTAGCTCGCGCTGCTGTTTATCTCTGGCTTCTTTTTCTTTAGCAGCAATCTTCCAAAGATTTTATACGTGCTTGACATCAGCTTCCTATTTGTCAAGAACATTGATCCCACAGTCGTCAGCACTAGCCTAGACTATTTTCCAACTTTCGGAACATGAGCATGTTGGCATAGACCCCGCTCGCGACCTTGTGCACCGCGATGAGTACAAGATTATCGAATAACCCTGTTCAGGTTTAGGTTTCAGGAGAGTGAAAATAGTAAAAGTAGACAGTGAAAATATCAATTCCTAATTTTTAAGGTATGTTAAAGGTGAAATTAATAAGGCCCCATTCAATTACGAAATTACAAAATAGCCCCGAATAATTAAAAAATAGCAAAAAGTCCCAGATAACTGGATATGGTAAAGCGCCCCAGATATTTGAAAAAAAGGAATATCACCTCAAATAATGAGAAAACAAAAAAAGCCTACTACCTAGTATATTCTAGTCAACGTGGTACACATATACCAATATTGTGCTTCGATAAAATACCTAACCTTTACTCCGCGCGAAGTAATTACCGTAGACCTATACATTCTTCGCTGCTCCTTCAGTTTTAAGAATTATGCGGGCGCTATTACGATTTGTGCCTAAAAGTTTTGATAGAATCACCCTTTATTGTGCTAAGAATCGCAATTTTGCAAACAAAAAGGGGCCTTACATACAGATAACTACTTTTGCCACGACGACAAATATGTGTCGTACATATATGCCAACTCTAAGTATAATGTATTAGTATGATTGTGCAAATTGGCATAACAAGTTAAGTTAAATGTGATAATACGATTGTATTATTGGACAAATGTCAGCAGCAAATATCGTTCGAAACCACGATGACAACGACAAATAGTTAGAAGAGTGTCAGCAAGAAGCCACGACTTGCTGGTATCTATTCCATATGTGCAGCGCATACTGGCCGAGGTTGACTGGCTTGTATATATCGCGATGTAGAACACGTTATTACTCTTGGTCGCGGAAATTGCTGCGCGCAAAACCTAGGATAAAGACACACTACTACAAGTAGATGCTGATAACATCCAAAAGTCGATTGGGTGCTCGTACGACATCCATCTAAGCAACTAAGACAATAGAAGACTATCAAATGGTCCCAGAATACGCAGCAGGTGGTGTGACACCAGATCTTACCTTTCGAGGGCCGCATGCCAAGTGCGGTCGGATACAGTCTGAAAAAATCTTGTTGAGTCCGTATCGTACGTTATAGTGCAGTGTTTAATCTTTTTAAACTTTGACATGTATGCTGGAGTGTGTTAACACGTCAACCAAATCAAATGTCTTGAGCGTGTCTTCATTGCCTCTTAAACTCTGCGATTATAGCCTGCTGTCCTTGTAGGTAAATCTAAAAAAATGACTAATTCATGAAATGGCACTACAGTGTAGTCGTCATCACTGGTAAGGCCTTCTCTAGTTTAATAAATTATCAGCAAACAGGTTAAATGGATTCAAAATATTCTACGGATGGTTTGAATTAAATAATTGTAGCCTACGAGCAGAAAACGTATCCCTATCCCGCCACTTAACAACTATAACAGCAGCACTGTAGTACCAACACACCACTAAACAATAATAGAACCAAGAGTACTATCAGCGGAAGCTATAAAAACGACATCAGCAGCAACAACACCAACTTTAGTAGCAGCGTAATCAGAGCAACAGGAGCACCTTAGATTACTCACAACGATAACAACTACGGCTGCAGATACAGCGGTAGCAGCAACAACGAAACCAGCAACAACGACACTAGCAATCAGCTGAAACAAAAACAACACTCATAACAAATACGACATCAGGTCAATAATATTATCTATAACGGTATAGGTAGCAGAAACATAAACATCAATAATTACTACATCAGCACTTATCGTCTACATTTGCGGCCGAAGCCGACGATACAAAGAAGCGTTCACATCTATCATGTGCTGCCTGCTTTCGCTACTGGTGGCTGCGAGCGCAGCACGCCCGAGTCAGAACCCCCCTACGGGGCTCCACCAACAGGCTAAGTTAATAAAACGGCTATTCAAAAGAATAGTGAGAAATGATCACCGATTTAAATTCTCATTAGTACCGCATAATTTAAAGTACACTAGGCCATGGGCAATTTCCCTCAAAAAATGTATCCTGGATAATCGTAACAAAACGTACGATTTAAGATAAAAACCAATGCAATAAGATGAGGAAATATTTTAGTAAAAAAACGATGCAATTAGATGAGGAAAAAAATAAAAGACTTTTGCTTTACGTTTGGCACGTCAAAGTTAAGTACGAAAGGTGTCTCCAAACCAATTAACTGATAGTTTGTGCATTGTCGAATCCTAACTAAGCACAATTAAATGACAAACGTATTAATAATAGGACAAGCAGCTCTCGCCTGGGCGGCAAGCTCCGCGGTTCTGGACGCCACGACGATCAACATACAAACTATTGTTTATTCCAGGTGCTATAAAGTTTCCTTAAGCTAATATTGTGTTTCCAGGCTGACCTTACTCTTTCTGTTCTTGTAAATAGTAAACCCACGTGGCGACCGTGATTAATCCTTTTAGTCCTGTCGTACTGCTCTCATAATCAAACTTTTAAACACCTCCCATGGGCCCCACGTTACACCAGTCCTATCATCTTGCGCAATTGTTTAAGTCGTGGCGGGCAGACTCTTAGTGAACACGTCCGCGACCGTATCCTTGTTCTAACGTACTCTGTTTTTGACCAATTCCTTGTCGCTCGCGTCTCAAACTTTAGTTCCACGTCAACGTGCTTGGCGCTGCTCGAGTTAAATCATTCCGGATATGTTGATAGACTTAGTTGTAGAAAAGCATTTCAAAGGTTTATCAAATGGCACTCCAATCTCAGAAAATAAGTTTTTTTTCCAGTAGAACTTTTCTCCTGCAGCTGCAGATACAAAATCCGCCTCTGCTACGTATCTTTTGATTGGTTTATCTGCGGCACAGTCTTCGTTGGTGTAGCTCACAATATAAATGTCTTTAAAAAATAAGTCGCCTCTAATTTTTAGCTTTACACTCAACATCCCCGACAGGTATTATGTAAAACTCCTTGCGCATCCTATCTCGTAGTTACATTACTTCGTCGTGTTGTTCTGTGTACCGCAAATGCAATTGTCATGCCGGTTGCATCAAGAGATTAGGCGCAGATTGCCTGCCAGCGATTGAAACTTTTCATTATTGGTATTTATGATGTTCCAGCGCTATTGCTTGGCAGCGGTTCCACTTCTTTGCTCTCCGAATCTATTAGAGTCCCGTCTGATATCGTAGATGAGTTAGAGGCAAAAGCCAAAGTTAACATATTAAAGGCCATTAGTTCACAACCATGAGCTATCTTTAAGCCTTCATGTAACGCTGTTCCATGGCAACCCTCTAAAACTACCATGAAGCTCCTGATGCTTTATCTTATAGATCATCATCCTACCAACATGAAACGCACCTGTTAGTGGTGTATGTCGACACTCCCACTCACCGCTACTGCTTGGTGACCTTGCACTGAATACCATTCGCATCTCGCAGGAACTTGATCGTCTTGGATCCTAGAGCCTTGGTCATTATGTCGACCAACTGATGTTTGGTGTTCACATACGCTAGCGAAACCGTTCTGGATTCGATTGTCTCTCTGATAAAGTGATGACGGATTACCACATTCTTGGTACGAGCATGATAACCAGCATTCTGAGCCAAAGCAATTGCGCCTTGATTATCCTCCCAGATCCTAGTAGCATTCCTTTGTACCATTCCCATGTCCGTCAGCATTGAACGCGTCCACAGCACTTTCTGAACACATAGGCTTAAAACCCTATACTCAGCTTACGCTGAGGATGGGTTACTGCTCGTTGAAACTTAGACTTGAATAATACGGGAGCGTTCCCAGTCATGATCATAACACTCGAGACAGAACGCCTGTTGTCGAGATCAGATCCCCAGTCCGCATCCGAGTAGGCTTCAGCTGCGAAGCGGTTAGTAACACTTTTTTAGATGATCTCGTGCTGACAGGACGTCTTTATGTAGCGTAGAACACGTATAACAGCGCCCCAATGCTGCTGCTTGAGATTATCCAGAAAACAATAAAGTTGCATTACCACGATTGTAATTTCCGGGCGAGTATACGTCGTGATGTACAGTAGGCATCCAATTTTGGAACGTTACGGTCTTAATTGCATCTTTCTTCGTTCTGCATCCTATGCTGGCGATTGCGAATTTGACAACGTTAGACCGTTTGCACGTGGGTTGTTTACCATCTCAGAGTTTCTTGCCCGAACCAGTTTGCCACATCATCGATGCATCTCGTTTGCTTGATCATAAGTGTTCCAATAGTCATGTCATGGTCGATCTCCATTCCTAGAAAAAATTTCTCCGGTCTAAGCTCCTTCATCTTGAAGGCCTTTTTTAGTTTGGCCTTCACGTCACTGATTTTATCACTAGTCTTCGCCACTATGATCATAATTTCGACGTAGAGGCAGACGTATATAAAACTGTTCTTGGAGCGCTTTACATAGAAGCATAGGTTCGCACCACGGCTTTTCAAACCGTAGTCAAGAATTACACGATGAATGCTCTTGCTCCAGGCACTTGCAGCTTGCTTCAATCCATAAATGGCCTTTTTCCCTGGAACCACATAGTCCTGGGTGTTCTCAACGCCTAGAGGTACCTCCATTTCGACACGGTCCTCCGACTCGCTGTTGAGAAACGCTGTTTCAGCATCCAACTGTTCCATCTGGTACACGTAAGCAGCACGACGGAGAGCACCAATCAATCGAGTTCATGCTCGCCACTGGAGAGTACGTTTCAAACAAGTTCACTTCGTTCTTCTGCTTGAAACATTTCGCCACCAATAGCGCTTTGAAGCGCACCACGCGACCATTCTGGTCACGCTTCTTGGCGAAAAAACACCGGTACCCAATGGTACGGATGACCATGTTTTTTGGAATTAACATCCAGGTACCGTTCCGTTTATGTGAAAGTAGTCCAGAATTCATTGCTATACGCCACTGCGTAGCATCTCTACTGGCGATTTCCTGAGCGTACGTTGTAATAGGATCCACTTCGTCAATTATTGCTGTGTACGCAAGAAAGGCTTCAGCATATATGACCATCTTCATCTATTATGGCACGCTTTGGTGAGGATGGTCCATCACTTCATTCCGACTTCTGTTCCTCCTCGGCGTCCGTTCCAATTTTAAGAAGAAAAAAAGGGTTCTCGGGAACGTCTGGAACGGTTTGCCGGGGTGTGGAACTCCACTTGATCTTTCTCGAAGTTAGTAGGTGGTCCACGGTACGGTACCAGCTCAAATTGAGTCGGAGCCGACCGTTGTTGTGGCATCGGCAGCGGGGGTATACCTGTCTTCCTATTGCATGCTCTGCATCTCTATGTCCAAAGCGTCGTTCTCAACGCCTTACATTGGTCTCGCAAAGACGGGCCGATGTTTCAATGGTGAGAGCGTGACTGCTTCATCGGCGTCTGTGGCAACATAAATGACTGTTCCATTATGAGCCGGTGGTGTATCACAAATTCCACCCACCTTACGCTCAACCAGCTCTGCTGAGCGAAACACTTTGATCTCAAAGGTGTCCAAGTCATTGACACGGTAACCCTTGAGGTGTTTGGGCATCCAAGCAGCAGACACCTAAACTATTAGGTTCAAGCTTCGCTTTATTTGCCTTGTTGATATGAGCGTAGCCACGAGAACCAAATATGCATAAGGGGATTTTATTCTAGCTCTCTTTCAAAACCTAGCTCAAGCGGTGTCACAGTTGAGTTTTGCAAGTTCGTCAAACGGTTAATTAGATATACCGAAATATTGACTACTTCATCCCAACACTCCATTGGAATGCCCTTAAAGTGTAGCATGCTTCAAGATTTCTTAATGATGGTACGTTTCATTCGTTCTGCCACTCCATTCTGCTATGGTCTATACGGGACAGTCCGTTGATGCACGATACCATTCAGCGTACACATCTTCTTCACCTCTTGGTTCACAAACTCTGTTGCGTATCCGATCGTAAACACTTGATGCGCTCTTCATTTTTTCTCGTAGACCGTCTTGAACTCCTTAGATCGATGTCCACCTCGCTCTTCATCTTTGAGAAATAGGCCACAACTTAGCTCGAGTAGTCATCCTCGAACGTCAGGACATTCTTTGCACCTCCTTTGGATAAATTCTATAGGGGCTCCATCACAACCGTGTGGACGAGCTCAAGGACGCGCGACGTTTTCGAGTTGGAACAATACGGAAATGTAGCTACCGTCTGCTTCCCTTTCATGTATCCGCCACATGAAGACTGTGTCGGTTGACCAATGGCCGGAATACCGTTTCTGGCATGCCACGTCTTAGTCAGAGAGTCTTGGTTGGGATGCCTCATGCATGCGTGCCAAAGCTCCCAATTGCTGCCTGCCTCAGCATACCAAACGGATTGAGATTCTTTTGTTCACAGTCTAACATGTACGCCTTGACCACCTTCTTACCCTTTGCAATTGCGCTAGCCGTGCCCCATATAGCACATGAGGAACGCTGAAATTCCACGTTCATGCCACGATCCTCGAGCTTCACCACTGACAACAGACGCCGATCGAAGACTGAGATGTGAAGTACTTTAACCATCCTAATCCGTCTACCGTCCAGTCTAATCAAGCGCACCGTACCACTACCAGTGACCTGCAGCTTCTTTTTGTCAGCGCTTATAACTTCGATGCCACCATTTAATTTCTTACACTCGAACAGATCAGAACGGTGCGGGTTCATGGAAGCGTTTGCTTCGCTGTCGATCAACCATCCGTTTACGCGTTCTGTGCTTACAGCAAATACCTCATGTCATCGTCGTCTGCTGTATGTTCCTGGCAGTCCCGCTTCATGTACCTAACTTTGTTGCACTTAAATCACTTCCTTTGGAAACCACTAGAGGTCTTCTTCTGATCTTTTCACTAGCGACCGTTCCCCTTACTTCCCTTAATTGGTCCAGCGTTGACCTTGACTCTCCTTGTGGAGTCGTATCCTTCATCTCCGATCGTTAACACTCCTTCAACAGCTTCTCTTTCACCTCGATGAGCGTGATGTCTCTGACAATCTCGATAATAGATAATTTCAGCTCGTATTCTGCTGAAAGGCTGCTCAGTAGCACTACCAGCTGCCGTACCTCGTCGACAGGCTCTCCAAGCGTCTGAAGACCGACAACAAGCTCGTCAAAGGCGTCCAAATGCTTTGCTACGCCCGTTCCAGCATCCATCTTGTTCTCGTGGAGGCGCCGTGTGATCGTGATCCGATTGTGTAGTGCAGTACAATTGTAAAACTCCCTAAACGTTACCCACAACTGAATCGCACGCGTAGATGAGCGGATCTTTGTCTGGTGTTATATCTCCGCACCCTGCGCGATGATGCCGAGAGCATTCGCGTCGTTTACTAGCCAAACTTCAGTTATCTTGCTCTCTTCCTTTACCACCCCCACGTGCGCCAGCAGACCTTTCCTGGCGAGATTCAACCTTATAGTAAACTCCCAGTTTAGAGAATAATTACTTCCCAGGAAAACTTCGGCTCGCTTGGTCTTCATCGTGTGCGTTTTGTGCGAGGTGAGGTCGTTCTTTGCCCTTGACGCAGCGGGCCGAGCTGCGCCTGTTAACCTGTAGAGTAGTTGGAGGCAAATGCCGAAGTTAGTATTGATAAGGTCCTTCGTTCACTACCATGAGCTATATCTAAGCCTTTATGTAACTTTGTTCCATGTCAAACCTCTGAAAATACCATGGAACTCCCTGAAAAAATTATCTTATAAATCATTATACTAACAACATGAAACGTACCTGTTCAATGGTGTAATATCAACAGCTATCGGCGCTCTACCTGTATTACATTTCAGGTATGTTTTTCTCCGGAATCTTCAAGATGATTTTCTCCTGCTCGAGCGTATACCCTGTCGCGTCATCGCGAATTTTCATGCCGAAAAAGTTCTTTACAGGTTTTAAGTCCAATAGTTTTAGGGTCTGTATGTCTTAGTCAAATAGGTCAGAAAACCATCCCTTCGTTACAGCGGCCAAAATGTCGTCTACGTAAGTCCTCACGACTACTGTGCTATCCTTTATATTTTTAGTACAGACATTCGTCCGTCACGGAATGCACGAAATTCTTTTAGCATCTTTTTAATGCAGACGGTTGTTCCAAAGTCTACCAGCCTGCTTGAATCCGTGTGGGCTTTGGCCACGTCTCAGACACAACTCATTTGGTTCATTCATTCTATTGCTTCTCAATTCTTAGGTTTAAAAATGTATGCCCTCAAATGTATCTCGAAGTATTATTCCTTTTACTATTTCGCGTATGCATTCGTAACATCATGGTGTCTGGCGCGGGCAGAATTTTTTTGGTGAATGTTAAAATTACTTTCCCACTAGTCAGGTCAAGTACAGCTGCAAGCATCAACTTGTAATCGCGTCCCAGCGCTTATTCATCGCCTCCGTCCACTACCCTTGATCAATGGCGCTCCATAGCACCGTCTACGTGAAAAATATAATTAAGACCCACTTGCTGCGTAATAGGTGCTATCTTTTGTTCTTAGCAATACCTTTCATGTATTGTTCGCCTCCAGAGAAGAAATTTGTTCTACACATGCCTCGACGCATTGGTGTGCTTTTCGCACAGCGATACGTTATATTTTATGGATTAAGATACACGGACCTCTTCTTCTTCGAGCCCAACACCTATACGGCGAGCATCTGGCTCAGTGTGGACTGCCCAAACCCTATCACAGCAACAATTAGAGATTTTTTTTCTCTGGCAACGGCTTATCGTCCAGCCCGGTTTAATTTCCTGGCTCTAGGCGTTCCGACTTCTTCCTCGCGCGGATCGAGCGTCGTGGCCTTTCTTGAGACCGGTCCAGCGCATCGCCTCGGCGTCTTCGCTGTCTCCCTGTTCGTGTAATGCAGCAATAAGGTCTCTTTTATTACAAGCTCACTAGTTGTTTCTTCCTCATCCATAGTAATAGATTTGAAAGTACTTCAATAGCTCCCCAGGCCGCACATTTAATCTACCACGAGCTTTCTTGCCTATTTTCGACGCAGCTTTTTGACGTCTCTACTAACGCGATAGTGCCATCTTCTCCAGCTTTCTCCTTAAATTCGCCTCGAGTATTTGCTTGAACTGCTTGTTTGCATCTACGGTAAGCGTTTCAATCAGCCACACGCGTCATGACGTTACAATCACATACAGTTCTGGCAGCAACATCCCAAATCATGTTGTTTCACCACTTAATTACAACAGTATACCTCGCGTCTCTCGATTGGCAAGACGGTTTTTTTTTATATCTGGTATTGAGTGCAAGGGGATTCAACTAAAACCACATCAGTGACACTAGCTAATTTCCCAGTCAGGATCTCGATCGTCGACTCTCGCCCGATTTTGGCTCTTGTATGCATCCGGTTGAAACACTACACCACTAGTCATCTGCGTACCCCCTGCACCCCAGCTCGAGGCCACGCCCAAATAGCATATCTCTCACCATGTTAGTAATAGTCTTGTGCATCCTCTCTGCCTTGCCTTCAGCGATAAAATCACTTCTATCACTTATCGTGCTAGTTGTGACGTCCTGCAGAACAAGTCTGACGCCTTAAACTCTCCTCCCGTCGTCCGTGCGAAGCACGTAAGCACGGACATTAAATCACCGCTTGAAGTATACTAAGCAGTACTCGAACTTCTTCGCCGCTTGGCCCTTCGTTTCCGCTAACAACACGCGACATCACTATAACCCTTGTGTTTACGAAGTTGATTGTAACGGGGTGAATCGTTACATAACAATTTATAAGAAATTGTTAATAGAATATAACTATAAGAGCTACATTCTTAGAATATTGTCGTAAGGACAATATTCTGCAGCACTTACGAGTAGTTCCTAATTGGTTGATATAGGCCATTATATCAACCAACGAAGACGCACAACGACAGACGCACGCAATGAGTGGTGAGCAGATAGTTGATATGCACATCTGTACTCAGACATGGTTAGATGAGGATGGACAGTGGTTTATTAACAGACATTAACTATTATAAATACAGGTCTACTTTTTACTTAAACCAAGTACTCGCTTCTTCTTACCGTCTTCCTCTGCACGTACGAGTGTACGTGAAGTTACGCGGCACCGCCTTATTCTGTCGTCAGAATAAGTAGCTTGTACTTTCATCAGTAAAAGCTTCAGGGTGCCCCGTTACACCTGGTAGCACTTCGTAGTCCGTTCAAGGACCACGTTCACATCTAACATGGATATGTTAGATGATGAAGATGACCAAAGCTTTCACGCTATGCGTGACGGATGCTCCCATTTGAGCGATGTCGAATGGGATGCGGTTGAACGGATGGGTTCAACCATGGGCATCTATGCTGTTAGCGTCATACCAGGGCTCTCAATAGAGATGTCCAACATGCTACTATCGCCAAGTTCATTCAAAATGAACTTGACGCTGAACGCGAGAAAGTAGCCTTGCTTCACCAACAAGGTTCTCAACCGTCAAAGTTGTTGAGAGAACAGGGTGCTCAACAGTTTGAACTGTTGAGGCAGCAGCAGGCTGCTGCTGGTGGGTCGATACACTCGCGTCGACCCGAAACCTTGAAGATTGAAACCTTCAAGTATAGGGGAGTCGAAGAGGACTCCCTCTTGAGATGGTTCGTCGAATTGGACGACGCCATAAGGGTGCGTTGCATCGACGACGAGGATATGCAAGTTGCATTTGCCCAGTCAAATCTGGCAGGACGTGCCAAGACTTGGGCACTGGGGCTCAAGTTGCACAACCCAAAAGCGTTTGGGTCGTTGGAAGTCTTCAAGTCGCGGCTCAGACAAACGTTTGAAACGCCTAGAGCTGAGTTCAGAGCTCGAACTGAACTCTTGAAGCTCAAAAAAGGTAAGTGTGATGTGCACGCTTACGCACAACATAAACGACATCTCACGAGTTGTATGAGTTCCAACCCGGTGGATGAACACATGTTGGTTTCGGTGTTCATGCGGCGTTTTGCGGATGTTCCCGTCAAGACTCACCTGTTCCGACTTGAACTAGATTCACTAGAACAAGCCATTTCCATTGCGGAACAGGAAAACTTCAGTCTGAGACAGGCTCGCGCCAGCTCGACATCATATCGTCAACCGAGACGATATGACAACGGAGGTCCAGAGCCGATGGAACTCTGTTATGTAGAGAGCGAGAAGGCTCGCTCTACAGGCTACAAGAAGTTGCAGAGATGCAACAGATGTCAAAAGACAGGACACTACGCTTACGAGTGTAGTGCCCCTCGTCCAGTGTCTCGCAACACTGGGCGTAATGACCGTCCACCCATGAGAAAGGGGCACGAACGAGGGTCCGCAGTTGGTGCAAAGACGCAACAACGGGATGGACCGTCAAAAAACGGACAGGATCAGTAGGTGTGGAGCACCCTACTGGTCCAGCAACGTCAAGAGAATTTGTAGGCCTCTTGACGAAGGCTGCTCCCAACACACAAATACTTTGCGTTGCTGCTCTAGGTAATGAGATCTCACTCATTACCTTGAAACTCGAAGTGACGAATAAATTGTCCCTTCGAGCTCTAGTCGATTGTGGGGCGTCCAACAATTTTGTGCGACGCCAATCGCTAGAAGATGGTCACTTCAAATTCAGTGAATGTGACACACCTCCTACGAGGATGACGATACGTCTTGCGACAGGCGCATCCGTAACCGTCATGAAGCGTATAGTGAAGATCTACTATACGCTAGAAGATACCCAATATGACGATGACTTTATCGTATTGGATTTGGATGACAAATTTGATGTCATCCTTGGAATACCGTGGCTCAGAAGGTACGAACCACGAGTAAACTGGCAACATCGGACAGTAACGATGCCTGCCGCTTGTTCATCAGATGGCCATCTGATAAACGTTTTGGAGCGTCCACAAGCGTGTGGATGTACTACGAGTGAGTGCGATGGCCTCACTTGTGGTACGGTCGTTAGTACGACTGCACAAAACCTTAGTGTACCAAACGGTTACACTTCGGAGCAAAGTTCCGGCGGCTGTGAGGAAACACAGGCTGCGCCGAAGGTCCACCACTCGAAAAAGTCGAGTGGACCGGGAAAAAGATGTATCCCTAGCGAGTAACATCCAGAAGAGAAATAATCGATCGCTTAGGTTAAGCGAAACGATAATCCTAGATCGACTGGAGAGTCTTTCGTAGAGGATCTCGCTGAGGTTGCGCAACCACAGCTAGAGAAAGTAAAGGGAATAAGTCTCAAGATTACAAATACGGTGGAAATAAGTTCCCCGAAACCCGCGGGAATATGTCCCCGGGGAGCCAAAGGAATAAGTCCTTCGAGGCCTGAGGGAATAAGTCCCCAGGAAATGACAGAGACATTGAATGTCATAGTCAATGACGGATCAAGTGTAGGCGCTTATACACTTGATCTGATTGCGCCTCCGAAGTTGACTTCGGTGATCAATCAGTTGCCAACGCTCGAACATAAAAGGTTCTTGCGTAATCTGCGTAGTGGCAAAGTCAAGCAGATCTGCGTACTCGTCGCTGACGACGAGTGCGTAGCCGACATAAGGTCAGCAACAGTGTTTGATGAGAACGAGAGAGTTCTCAGTAGTTCATCTATGGACGAGAGTGTCCTGGATGAAAAGACACGAATTGAGCGATATGACTCCCAATCGTGGGAATCGCTCAAGACAAATCCTCTCTATGAAGATTTGGTTGAATGCGAGGATGTATTCCCTGAAACTGTTCCGTGCGAATTACTGAAGGATAAAGGTATTCGACACGAGTTCGAGCTTAAACCAGGCTCGAAGTACTGTGTCATGAAGAAGTGGTCACTGCCTTGTGAACAAGTACTTGCGATCGACAAGTTCTTTGCCGATTGTATAGCTGCGGGCCATGTAAGGTAACCAGCTTTCCACATAGCTCTCCGACCTTCTGCGTGCAAAAAGCAACAGAAGGGTGGCGGATTGTGCATGCATTTAACAAGTTGAAAGCTGCAACGGTACCGGCTCAGACGCCGATATCAAGGAAGGACGTAATCATTGATGGTATGTCAAAGAGTACCATCTTTTCGTCCACGGATTTGATGTATGGCTTCAATCAAATCCTTATGCGAGAACGGGACATACCCTATACCGCAGTGAGCACGCCTAGCGCATGCTCTGGGAGTGGCTAGTAATGCCACAAGGGATTAGTAATGCCCCTTTCACGTTCAACAGATGTGTATCACATCTGTTGAGACCAGTACGAGAATTCGCGCCGAGTTATTTCGATGACGTATTCATCCATAGTCGGGCTATGGATGGAAAGTCGGACGTTGAGGTTCACAGATACCACGTCAGACAGGTTCTTACAATCATGCGAAAGCATCAATTGTATGCAAACCTCAAGAAGTGTATATTTGCCGCAAGCGAAATACTACTTGTTGGGTGCATCGTTGGTAAGAACGGTGTACGTTCTGATCCCGAAAAGATCAAGGCGATCACCGACTGGCCTGTGCCAGTCGATGTCAAAGGTCTTCGTCAGTTCCTTGGTATAGCGGCGTATTTGCACAAGTATTCACGCAATTACGCCGAGATGACTGTACACCTATCTCGTTTGTTGAAAAAGAACGAGAGGTGGTTATGGAACGCTGAATGTCAGCGCTCCTTTGATGGTATCAAGCAGAGCTTGATACAATCACCAGTCCTAGCAATAGCCGATCAGGACAGGCCATTTCATGTGGTCTGTGATGCCAGCGATTTCGCAATCGGCTGTGCATTAATGCAGTACGATCTTGAAGGCGTTGAACGCGTCGTCTGCTATCAGTCGCGTCAGCTGCAACCAGCTGAGCAGAACTATCCAGTGCATGACAAGGAACTCCTTGCCATGAAGTATGCACTCGCGAAGTTCAGAGTCTATCTATTAGGAGATAGACCCTTCATTGTTTACACTGACCATGCGTCATTACGCACGGCAGTGAACAGTCCGCACCTTTCACAACGAATGGCGCGGTGGTTGTCATTCTTTGCAGAATACAACTTTACGGTCGAGTACAAACTAGGACGACTTAATGTCTTCGCTGATGCACTCTGACGTCGGCCCGACTTTGAACCAGTCGTGAAACCCAACAGTGAGACAGCCACTGTTGCGGTTATGACGTCCTCAGTCCCATCTACAACGTTGCATGATGATGTAAGGCGGGCGTACGCCCAAGATGGTGAGATTTTGAATCTGTTGGCATATCTCTCACAGCCATCTTGAGAATCATTGAAACGATTGTCGTCTGCGTATCGATCTGCATCAGATCGATACACTACTCGCAACGGGTTACTGTATTATACAGCCGTTTCTGGTGACACACCACGTGTTGTCATCCCAGATGATACTGATCTGCGATTGCGGATCATGTTCGAGTATCACGATGCTCCTATAGGTGGACATCGTGGCCGAGAGAAAACATATCTCACGGTGAGTCGAGACTTTTACTGGCCCCGCCAGTATCAGTTTGTGTGAAAGTACGTTCGCGCATGCGAAGTCTGTCAACGAGTGAAGTCAATTCCTTCACTGCGTGCACCTTTACAGACTATACCAGTTCCGGCAGTGCTGGGAATCCATCTCAATGGATTTCGTCGGGTTACCCAAAGACGCACGCAGGAATACGGGTATTCTTGTATTTGTTGACAGATTCAGCAAAATGGTACACCTTGTGGCTGTACCAGAGTCACTCACAGCAAGTGGCTATGCTTGTGTCTATATCGGCGACATCTTCCGACTTCATGGGTTACCCCGTGAACTCGTATCAGACAGAGATCCACGCTTGACAGATGATTTCTGGCGCTCCGTGTTCAAATCACTCGGAACGCGCTTGAAGATGTCGACATCGGATCATTCAGAGTCAGATGGTCAGACGGAACGGGCCAATCGTGTCCTGGAAGAGATACTTTGAGGATACGTACACTACTTTAAGAGTTGGAGTGAGTTTTTGCCAATGGTTGAGCTTGCCATTAACAACTCGGTGCATGCGTCCACGACACATACACCGTTCTACGTGAATGGCTTGCGCCGTCCGCGTGTACCCACCTTTCTCGAGTGTAACTCTGGTTCAAGGGGGGAGAGACTCGCGCGAGCAAAAAACGATTTGGTTCACGCTCATCACGCTCTGACGAAGAGGTCATTGCGTTTGATGCCGATATCGACAACATCGATATAGAAGAAGATGATGCCAGTGAGAGTGCGGAAGCCCTCACTGAAGAAAAGATGGAAATCGCTGCATTGCACTCACACCGCACTAAATCTAAAGAGTCAGCAGAGGAAGTTCATACTGGCTCGTGAAACGGTAGTCCGTTTCGTGCAAGACTCCATCGCCGAAGCGGTGGGTAAGCAAAAGCAAAACGCAGACAAGAATGGAAGGGCAAACACTCTTTTATTTAATAACGGTGACTTAGTCCTACTGTCTACGGTTAATCTACCAAAGCATGTAGTGACTAACTTGGGTAGCAGTAAACTACTACCCAAGTACATCGGCCCATTTCGTGTATTGCATCACCTAGGCAATGCAAACACGATCGAACTGCCACGTAAGATGCGAATGCATACCACGTTTTACGTTGGTCGGCTTAAGCCGTACCATCAGTACGCTGCTTCTTCCGATGAAGAACGCCCTTGCGCTCAAGCATCTCGCAGAGGGCCTTGTGCTCCCGATGTTGGATATCGACAAGGGTCTGAAGAGCAGTTATCTCATCCCGAGACCGATCAACAATCCCACGAGCTACCCTTAGCTCGTCACGCAGAGATGTCAAAGCTCTCTCGTTCTCAAGCTGAGCAAAGGCAAACTCAGCTCGATGTCTCAAGACAGTGTCCGCCAGTTGAAGACGCCTGTCCCGCCCATGCTCGAGGTCGTCGCGTAACGCAAGAGTTACGCGATCAAAGAAGCTCTCGGAGACACACGCTCCCCCACGATATCTTGGAAAGCGTCTCCCCTCCTCCTCCACCTCCTTTGAAGGACTCTCGCGGTGACCAGCGCTATCTAGTTGAGCAGCTGTTGAGCCACCGCGACGTGAACGGACGTCGGACGAGTTATCTCGTCCGGTGGCGCGGCTATCCCCCCTCCTGGGATTCTTGGGAGCCCCGCTACCAACTGATGATTGACGTAATGGGTCTGGTTGAGCAGTACGACGCGGCACATCCTGTGCCGCTGAAGGACCGCTAGAGAAAGTCTCCCTGGCTCGGTCGTAAAGGGATTTCAGGTTGTCAATCCCTTCGTACATCTCAGTAGAGATACGTACGCGCCACCACGGGCTATTAGGGAGGTAAGCCTCCTTAGGTGCGCGTGCAGAGTTGTTAACACAACATGGGCACGAGTCTCCATAAGAAAGACAGGGTAACCAACCCTTCTAAGACAGACGATGCAGCTTATAGCGTGCACCTGTCGGGGTTAGCTTTTCAAACTTATCACGAGCTTTGATAAGTTTGTCGTTCCGAACGTCACGACCCACATCCTCAAGATTATGAATGTAGGCGTTCCACGCTTGAAGCAGTAAGGGACCATCACGTTTTTGATTCCCACTGTACCATCGATGCTTAAAGAAAGCATCGATGAAGAAATCGTGTTCAGTGCGATGGTTTTTCGCACTGCGGTCAAGGTGATGGATCCTTGATGAATCGAACAATTGTGTTCGATAGCGATCACTGGTACATCGCTGCGAAGTGGTGTCGACAGGAGAACCGACGCCACTGTGAGCGCCCGAGTCTTGCGACCTGGAGCGCCTTTGCTTTGGCGATGGTTCATCTGAATCGTCAGACGAACCGAAGATGCTAAGACGCGTAGCATCATCCATACCACGCTTGGCAGGCGGCTTGGTTTCAAACGCCTTCGATACAGATCCCTCTTCCGTATCAGGAGAGTATGAGACACCGAGCTCATACTCTGTGAAGACATGAGTGTCTTCATGACGAGCGCCTGCATCACCAGGTGATACAGGCTGAGACGCTTTAGCAACCGATGACACATCGGTTGCAGCGGTTTCTGCTTCGGCGTCCGCACAGAGACGTGCGGACGCGCTCTCGGCGGCCTTGCTCGCGCACCGCATGGACTTGTTAACCATGCGATGAACTGTTAGAAAGTGGACTCGGACCAACAAGTGCAAACCCTGTCCCAAATGATTTGGGAAGAGTATCCATTTAGTCAATCAGTCACTAAAGTGACTGATGGTTAAGGGGGGGGTGATGTAACGGGGTGAATCGTTACATAACAGTTTATAAGAAATTGGTAATGGAATATAACTATAAGAGTTATATTCTCAGAATATTGTCATAAGGACAAATACTCTGCAGCACTTACGAGTAGTTCCTAATTGGTTGATATAGGCCATTATATCAACCAACGAAGACGCGCAACGACAGACGCACGCAATGAGTGGTGAGCAGATAGTTGATATGCACATTTGTATTCAGACATGGTTAGATGAGGATAGACAGTGGTATATTAACAGACATTAACTATGATAAATACAGTTTTACTTTTTACTTTAACCAAGTACTCGCTTCTTCTTACCGTCTTCCTCTGCACGTACGAGTGTACGTGAAGTTACGCGGCACCGCCTTATTCTGTCGTCAGAATAAGTAGCTTGTACTGTCACCAGTAAAAACATCAGGGTGCCCGTTACAGCAAATGTGCACGATAACTTGGCTACTATGCGAATGGCGAGAAGCAAAAGTACTAATGACAATGCCTTTGATGCAGAAGTGGCGCGAATGTTAGAGCGAGCGATTGAGCTTGATCCGAAAACGCGCGACTTTAATGTCGACCTCGTCGCGTACTTGGAGCAGCATCAGCAGCAGCTGGATCGGCTTTGACAGCTGACGCGGAAAGCTAAAGAACTAGAATCTGCTGATTCAACAGTGAGAAATGATGGAGATAGAGATGGACAAGATCATGAGGAGATTGCTTCGAGCGAAGAGGATGAGAATAGCGAAGACGAAGAAGATAGTGAGGATGAAGAGTTAATCGATGAGCATCTAAAATCGAGACGCTCACCTACCCACTTGACTGGTGGACAAATGTAGGACACCTGAAGGTCCCAAGGACGGCAGCGGTAAGAACTTCAAGAACCAGTCTTTTGGTTAATGGTCGATGGAAGACCGAGGTGCTTTCATACACGTTGCATGGACCAAACGTTTGTGAAGTATAATGACACAACTGACATAACCCTCCTATCTTACACAGTGACACTGTTAGTTGCCAGCAGCTACAGCAGTGCGCAAGATGTCGCCCGTAGCCAAGTGGCAGAGAAAGTACTCGTCTTTGTCCAACAGCGATTGCGTACCTCGTACATGAAAGATTTTGAAGGAAGGGTGTGAATCTAAGGAAAAGGGGTGTGAATTTAGCAATTTTCATAATTGTATTTCCTCTAAATTACTAGCTGTATTTCTTCTCGATTTTGTGTAACGTGTAATGGACAATTTAGTTTAAAAAATTACTCGAGTCAATTGGAATAAATACTTAAACGACTCCAAATCAATGTTTCAACAAATGTTCAGTGCAAAATCGCCACATTTCAACAAACTCTAAAAACGCAACCAGGACACGCGAATCTGTCATCGACCACATCCATTATGCCTGTCACCGTCCCGGTCCACCCAACGCTCGTCGCGGCCAACACTGTTTCAGATGTGACAGCAGATTTTCCGACCTTCATTTATTTTACTCGTACCGAAATTAGCGTCTCTATTTGTGGGTCCCAGTCAAAAGACCTGTCCGAAGTTACGCGGGAAGGTATAGCCGCTCTCTTTGAGAAGAATATGGAGCTTCTGTACCAGGCGTCAAACTGGGGATACGAATCTAGAGCTAAGCGTGAAGAGCTGTTTGCAGACGAAGCGCGGTACCTTTTGGTCTATGACGAGAGTATCCAGGCGCTGCACCCCTTAAAGCCACTCGTAGGCTTTGTCCACTTTCGGTTCCTTGATGACGACGGCGCTCTGGTTTTGTATCTCTACGAGGTCCAATTGGCGGCCAAGGTGCAACGCCAAGGACTTGGAAAGTTCCTTATGACACTGCTGCTCTTGGTGGCCAAGAAGCACGGGATGGAGCTCTTGGTACTTACGGTTTTCAAGCGCAATACGGGAGCCATGAGGTTTTATACAGAACGAATGGGCTTCGAGATCGATGAGACGTCGCCAAGTGCATGTGGAGATGACTCGCAGGATTACGAGATCTTGAGCAAAAGCGTCGTCAAGAAAAAGTAGACGACAGATACTTCCAAGGGCCACGAAAATTGGAGAAGAATGGGCTCTGGAGCAATGGGGACGACGCTGAGGCTACAGCCAGTGCTAGCACACAACCAATACTATCCACTTGGTGAGCCCATTCATCCAAAGGGCTCTACATTTCTTCGTGTGACGTCAAATTTTGCTGCCGCATGTGGTGATAGAAACACCCGTTGAAGCATCGGCACAGATTTTGCTTGCAAGTGCTTTTTCGTGTCTTTCATTGCACTATATCCGATAAAGTCAAAGGTGGAGAGCTGTAGCTACATGATGCAGTGACAATGTGCTGATATGCATCGCAGGCCTTTCTGACAATGGCCAGGATGCTTCGGCTTTACAGTTTCTGTTGCAGAACTGACAGGTTGCAACGTGGGCTAGTTGTGCTGCGTTGTAATGTCAGCCTCAGCACGTTCCTTAAGCGCGTCCTGATTCCAATCTCAGGCCTGGTAGCCGCAAGGTGGCAACGAAGCATACGAGCTGAGTGCAGGCGCGATTTCAAATGCTTTGGAGTCGCACTATCTGGACATTGTCGCTGAAGCTGCTAAGGTAATAAGTAAGATCGTCTTCGACGCCACTTCTTGATCAGACGTGAAGAAGTCTTACCAGGGATTTCAACTGCAGGAAGTTGAAGTCACTGATTGACTTGTGTCGTGCGTGTCTCGTCATTGTCAGTCAGCCAAGTAATGCGTAGTTGTCGAGCCGAAGAAAGAACAGCAACAGGTCGGCGGCCACAATGCATGATGTTAAGCACCATATTCTGCCTACAACACTCGATTGAGCAGCTGCAAAACCCACAGCAACGTAGCAGGAGTATTCCGTGGCATGGAAAGGTAGTAGGTAAATGTATCACAACTCCGAGCCGAGCTTTTTTTGCTGCTGTACGCGAGTCTCCTTCCTAAAATACAGATTGTGCCACTGAGAACGCTGTTGTCAGTACTACAGGAAGTGCGATAACCAAGACTATTGTGGCTTCGCTACTATGTGGTGAAAGAAGTGCTGATCGGTTAAACGTGTTGACGCATTCAACTTTAGATAGTAAACAGCCAAGTCTCTAGCTCTACCAAGAGTACGATAAAAAGACCGGTGGCCTTGCTCGAAGCAATTCCATACTAATAGAAAGCCAAGCCGTTGCTACAACAGAATGGCGTCGATAGCATAAGAGCCCTGAAAACGTACCTCCACGAGAAGGGACAGTCCCACGGATACGTACGTCACTAAACACCTGCTGTGATCATATTGACATCTAAAACGGCGTAGTTGAAGCTGTTTGAGCTGGTCGATTGAATTGTTTGGATCAAATGACAGGAGCAATACCGATATAGCGACGGAGATGGCAACATGAAACTTCCCACTGTCATTCACTCGTCACGTATGATGAAGCAATCAACAATTACAAATCTGTTTCATGTTCCGGTATTTCTCGTGACAGAGCTTCAGATCCACAACGTCGTCCTTAACGTGGTACGAGTGACTGTTTGTCTGGACTAAAAACCGGTGCTTCGCCATGCTGACTTTTTTGTTTGATGGACTTCGCAATGGTCCACGGGCGGCCGTTGCAGGGACTGACCTTCTATTGTTGACACAGCGGTGCTGAATGTTAGCGCGGTAGAAAACTCTATTGATGTCGATCGTCAATAGTAATCCACGTAAATCGCCGTCACGCATAATCGCATGTGGCAGCAACAAACACCTTCTCTGCCTCCGTCTATGTTGCCGCTCTCGGTGACTTTTCCCAGACGGCGAATGCTCCACCACCAGTAGAAGAAGATAACGAAAGGAATGTCATCGAACAGAAGACGATGACGGACGAGATGCCATCGATCAGAGCACATTCATGTTGCCAATGCCCCAGACACAATCCCCTTTCTTCAGCACGACTGATGACAGTCGAGTCGTTCGCTACGCCAAGCGTCAGTAGGAGCACTGACACCTCTGTGAAGTGTATGACCGATTTTGTTACGATCTAGCTTGTGGGATCTCTCCTAGCAGCAAGCAAACGGGTTCGGCTATCCTTTCCTGAAGCGCCCCATAAAGTAGCGACTTACTTCGTCGGTATAGTCATTAAGTACACTACGTGCAAAGCTGCAGACGCACATAGCTTGGCAACGACAACGATCTCGATGAAGAGGAACACACTCATCGCCATTTCAAGCGAATGTGTGCAACAACACTGCTGGCGACTCCATCGATGTCATCTTGTCGTCATAGCAACTGCATACCGATACGCAGCGACAATACATCGAGCATTTTACATGCATGCAAATGTAGCATAGAGACGCATGCTTGACCATGCAAAACAGCTCTTTAGGTCCTACTACATAGTGTGCAGGTGCTTTACTTTGACGTAGAGCCTCAGAAGGTTCGTTTGACCCATTGCAACGGCGATCGTAACCCCGCCACTCGTGCAGTAATTGGACATTGTGTTGTGATCATCACTGGCTTCTGCATTGCGTCTTCTAAATGCGCATGTTGTTGTGCACCAAATCAACCAACTATGAAGAGGCGTAACCAGAAATACCGCAAGCGACTCCTCTCATCCAGCCGTTCGTTTCATGTAGTGTACGCAATACTGCGTAGATTACAGGTGTTCAACACATGACACACCAAAATAAAACGAATACGCGGTTTACCAGTTGTAGCAGCTGGACCTCAACGACACATTGCGACGCACGAAACGTTGCGACATTGCAGCGTGAGCAGGGCGATAAAGCGTGTCAATATGGACGCAGGGCTCCTTCATTGTAGAAGCCGTGCTGCTGCTCTGCAAGGAGACACTCATTCGAATGGAAAGCGCCACGAAACTAGAGATCAGAAGTAGGATTATAAATGTGCTGCGCTCGAAAACGTTCCACGAACGCCCGTCCTTTTCTCGACCAAGTTGGCCGCCTCTATCGACCCCAAAGGCAAAGGCAGGTGAGTCTTGCTCGAAGCTTCGGAGTGTTGTCCACGAGAAGGAATCGGTTTGCTTAGCCACCGCTTCGTGGGACGGTATCCTCGTGACACAGTCAGAGCTACAGCTTTGCCTGAACTCAAACAGCTCGGTCTTGAAGCTGCATAAGCATCTGTCTCGAGTACCTTGAAGGAATCAAAAGTTCGTGCAAGAGTAGGTTGAGTCAGAAAATTGCGTGCGCGGGCAGTCATCGATACGCCGCAAGTCCGTCGTGACGTCGTGCGAGGGATCACGTGACATCGTGTTTTCTCAGATGCAGCTGTTGGTTCAGCCATGAGACATCTGGACACAGCACCTGCGCTGTCTGCGGCCATGGATCCCCTTGCGTGCGGTGAACACGGTACCAGCAAGGGGTACCTTGTATCACTTGCGCAGCATCTCCTGGTAAACTAGGGAGCACTAATAGATAATAGACGAAGCGTACAATGCTCGCCATCCCTTGCTTCGGCAGCGCCTTCGCTTAACCTCCTCCACATGGACTGTGTATGTAATCTGTTGCTCGCGACCCTGGACGTGTGTAACAGCGTCACGCTCGCGTGCGAGATGCGCCCACGTCGTGATGGCAGAACCGTCTGACGCAGTCACATCCGACCGACATCCTCGTGTTCAAAGCGCCCGACGTTGATAACCCACTGACTCGTCAGTATGCTCGGTCCATGTTGTCCGGCTTCAGACAGCCGAACACTTGTGTGTTGCCCATTACAACTCTTGCGACGATGGAGTTGTCCCACATCGTGCGGAAGAAAGGAAGCTGTGCGCGCGAGGCGGTAGCGACAACAACAGTGCGTCCCATCCAGTTACCTAATGTCCGTGGGGGTTCGCTTGGACTTGCAAGCACGCAACTCGAAAGGTCAAACATGCGAAGGTGATTTCCTCCACCGGATGCTGCGGATGATATAGAGAGAGCGCTCAGTGTTGCAGGTTAAGAGAGCAAAAGTCGCGATACAGGATCCCCTTCGAGTTCTCTCGGAAGCCACGGGGCGTGCATTTGAGGTTGTAGCAGTTAAACTGAGGGGGCAGTCATGACAAAGTACACGTTGTGAACTCCGTCCTAAAGAGCCGTTTGGCCACTGAAGTCTGCGTTGCAGTATACACGAGAATGAACCTGCAAGTTGCGTCAACGCAACAAGCAGCCAACTCGGAACTTTGTTCAACACTCTGCTTCGGTGATATCAGTGCGAGTTGGAAAGCCCGTGCGAGCGACGTTTCGACTGTACAAGGGACAGTTACGTTGCAGACGCCTGTTGCCCGTCATGTCGGCCAAGTCGTGGGAGAGTGGTGGACCTTGTCCGTTTGTCTCGGGTGGCCATCACCAGCTGCAGATATCCCCTTCGACCAGCTGCTGCTATGCCACATGTTGTTGATTGTAGGATGCTGCTGACGTCTCCTGGCCAGAATTCGACGACTCCTTGGGTGGGGTCCAGCCTGCTGGCAAGAGCGTGGCTGCATTGTCCGTCGCCATCGTCGCCATCGTCGCCGTCCCCGTCCGTGATCCTCAATCCAATGAACCACTGGATCGAATCCAACGCATCGACTAACGCTCTTTTCTCTTAATGTGGTGCCGACGTTTGCGGTCTCTCAACTCGCTCACCCCGAGTCACTGACTGGATCAGTCGCGGCCGATCCCAGAGTGTGCTCTTGCCTTTCCCGACTGCTGTTGGTCCGTGATTCGCTCTCTCTCTCTCTCTTTCTCTCTCTCTCTCTCTCTTTGCCACGGACAACTTGTCACGCGTGAACTCGACTCCATCCCTCGCCCTAACGGGCATCCGCTTCACATCCCGAGGAGCGTCCCATCTGAAAACTTAATCTCCTGGTCTGGGCCTCCTTCAAGCAACCGCAGGTTTGGTTCATGCTATATTTTCTCCTTCTTGACTCCGAGACAGTCATCAGTCAACAAGCAGTCAGTCAGTCAGTCAATTAATCGATCAATCAATCGATCGATCCCTCGGTCTCCTCAGTTACCAACTTGAGCGGTTCACGACAGCCGAAGCTCACACAACCTCTTGAGCTCACCAGCTTCAGCTTCCCGCATGTCCATCAAGAGCGTTCAAGACCGTGACCCCCCTCGCCCGCAACGACCAAGTTCCTCAAAAGCCAGCGGCGCCTTCCAGCTCACCATGGCTCGACAGTCCGCTCCGTATTCCGACATGCTACTGGGAGATATGCACCTCATCAGCACGGACGACGTCGACGCCTGGACACGAGCCCCCCATCCGCTGTACACGTCGCAGCTCCACCGTCACCAGTTCGGCCTTGCTGCCTGCCCTCCAGCTTCAGCTCCAGCCCCGCTCATCCGTTACACTTCAATGCCTGGGCGTCAAATGACAGCTGCCATCTTCCAGCAGCAGCAGCAGCAGCAGAAAAAGCACCACCAACAGCAGCAGTCAGCGCTGTTTACAATGGGTGCACCCCCGACCCTCGTTCGGCATCACAGCCACAACTACGTGTCGACCTTGCAGGCCCCTCCCCATCAGCATCAACCCCAGCAGGGGTTTCCAACCCCCTTGAACACCGCCTCGATGCCTTCTCGTCACGTGCACGAGAACGAGATGCAGTACTTATTGGAGATCAGTATGGACCAGCAGCAGCCGTTGCAGTACCCAGTTCCAACGCCGCAGCGGCTGGTTAAAGTCGAAGCAACACCTTCGTCCCCGTCCGTGAACGTCGAGCCCATTGCGTTCACGAGTGCTGATCACAGTACAAAAATGGCCGTCGACGACCTCGACCCGATCGCCTTCAGTGTCTTTAGCAGGACATCTACTGCTGCTTCTACCAAGTCTGGATCGTTCAATGTGCTGGCTCAAAACAGCGGTCACCCGATCGAGTCGGCCTTTGACTCGCTCGACCGGCTTTTGCCCGAGATGGAACAGGACCTGATGTTTCGGCTGCCCGAGCAGGCAGTAGCTGGTTTTGACTGTATGCAGACGACGGGCAATAAGTCTCCAAAAGGCCTGAGCACTTGCAAAGTGAGTGAGTGCGACCGTCGGGTGCGGTCCAAGGGGTTCTGCAAGACGCACGGTGGTGGCCGCAAGTGCAGCATTGACGGCTGCAAGAAGTCGAGTCAGAACGGAGACTTTTGTATCGGCCACGGCGGTGGCAAGAAGTGCAAGGAAGACGGGTGTGCCAAGGCAGCACAGTCCCATGGGTTGTGCAAAGCTCACGGCGGTGGGGCTCGTTGCAAGTACCCTTGTTGCAGCAAGAGTTCCCAGGGAGGCGGGCTCTGCCGTGCACATGGAGGGGGCAAGCGCTGCCAGGCTGCTGGGTGTCCGAAAGGGGCTCAGCGTGGCAACTTTTGTGCGACCCATGGCGGCTTCCGCAATTGCAAGATCGAAGACTGCTTACGCACGGATCGTGGGGGAGGGTACTGTGAGGTGCATCGACGTGGTCGCCTCTGTAAGGTGGACGGGTGCAAGAAACTCTCTCGGAATCAGGGCATGTGCACGATGCACATTCGTGAGGACAAGCAGGTTTCGATTGACCCACTCACCTCCTGAAGGAGGAGAGTTGAGTTGACTGCTGCGCTGGTCGCTCGTAAGAGGATCAAGGATGGTCTCTTTGAATGCCGTTCGACTGTTGGGAATGCTATCTCAACTAGCTGCTTGAGAGGAGCATTATCATCGCCCTCATTCGAACGAAGATGAGGAGAAGGGGTCGACCAGCAGTTGTTATTGGTCGGACAAGTTGAACGTGACGTCTCTGGTTGGAGACTCGAAGTTGTTGTACCGATTGGCTCTGTGCCGATTTTTAGTTATAGTTGTCTAGTCTAGTTGTGACATCCGCTGTATCTGCTGTAAAAAGTCAAGTATTTAATCTGGTTGCTGACACACTAGTAATCATCTGTGCGAGCGGTAGTAGAACATTAGCCATCGCTTGTCGCGTCCTGCCCGAGCTCTTGTCCTCTCTATTTCGAACAGGTGGTGACTGATTTGTGTGATAAATATTGGCATGATGGGAGAAAACCCAGGAGCTGGTGGTATTGGAATAGAGCATCACGTCGATCGCGAACTTACTTTTAACACTTGCGCTGGATTGCGTCATCCGACAGTTGCTTGAGATAGTTTATTTGTTACATTGGTTGGACAGCTCAAAGTTCACCTGACGAGACGACACTAGTCCTAGGTACACCTGGTGTCGCGAGTGATACCCCGTCCATGTTGTCGTGTTGAGAAATCGTTTCCAGGTGGGGCACCCTGGCATGGTGAATCCGACGAACTGACTGAGGATGGTCGATTTGAGGAGGCATGGCCGTCTGATGCGGATGAGCTGCCTCGTTATGGCTGTGATGGCCAGTTTCTCCTTGCGGCAGCTCAATATCTTGCGTTTTCTTGCTGTCAGGCGCTTTGAGCTCTTGCTTGGGCTCCACAGTATCCAATGGATTCTTGCACGATAAACTCTTCGTCGTCGTATCCTTTTTCAGATTGGCTAGATACTTGCTGTGCTCGCGACGATACTCAGTCGTGAAATTGGCAATATGAGAGAGTAGCACGTCCAATTCCTCTTCCGTATCTTCTTCCTCAAAGTACTCGAGAAAGTGAGCCTTGGCCGCGTCTAATTTGTCCAGCAGACCTTGAAGGATCGACAACTCCGTCTTCGCCTCCTTACAAAACTGGATCAAAGAGTCATTATTTGCAACCATCGCTTCCTTGCCGGCACTTTCCGCCTCACACAACACCTTTTGCAAACCGACTTCCAGCCCATTCTTCTCCGATGCTAGCGAAGCGTAAGCCACGTTGCTGCACTTCGAAATGAGGTCAATGTCCTTGTCAAATTGCGCGAGGTGGGGCACGTCCCGTTCGATCGACTGCACGACGTACTGCAAAAACGTGGTGCCACCCACGAACGCCTTTGTCTGAGAAAACTTGACCAGTGAGCTCAGTGAGAAGGCGTTGACACCCTTTTGCTTGTTGTCGCCGCCAAAGTTGAGCAGATTACCGATCTGCAAAATATAAATAAATAGTTGGCGTAGTTCAGCGCTTGAGCACACCTGATACACACCTCGTGTCACGAGATCCAACGACTCGCGCAGCTCGAGTGATCGCGAGGAAAATTCCTGTTTGTATACTAGACATGCTAGTTTCTCGTGGAAGCGCGGCACACTGCGCACTTCCACCAAAAACTGTTCGGCAGTGCCGATTGTGGCCAAATCGCCCTCGAAGGCCTCGATGGCTTCCATCTCTTTTCGATCTGGCCACATATCCATAAGAGAACGCACTTGAGAAGGCGACAACACGTCAGTGTTCATTGCTAAAATCTCGCGTTTCAGCTCTGAGAACGTTAGCTTCACACGTGCCAGAGTGATGGCAATGTTTTGCGACTTCTTCATATCAATAAGCTGAACCATAGCCTTCTTCTTGGTAGCAATAGCACCATCAGACTTTGCGGAAAGATCAGGCTTCTTGCTCTCAGTCAAGTCCTTCACAAATAACTTCTCCAGCATCGCGCGGCTCTCGTCCGAAATTTGAACCTGCTCTTTCGTCTCTTCCATGCTGTCACCACCCCACAAACTGTCGCGTCGTGGCCTATGGTTCTTCCCTTCCCAGTGCAGCTTCTTGCGAATCGAGTTCTTGCGTTTAAGAGACTCTTTCGGTCGCGCGGCAGGACTTGCACCTTCACGGGGACCATTTAATTCCATCGGGTCAAGTCCTGCCATCCGCATCTTTTGCTCTACAGCACCGCGCGGTAATCCCATACGAAGCATCTGAAAGTACTTGTGGTATTTCTTCCGATGTGCAGCTCGCTTCTCTTCCGTCACTTCCGATGTAGCTGCAGCCTTTGGCTCCGGTCGCTTTGGCGGTCCGTGCAACCACGCTGGGTCCACTCCATCCATGCGCATTTTGTGCTCTACAACGGCAACTGGCAGGCCCACTTTTACCATCTGCGAGTACTTGCCGTGCTTTGCCTCGTATTCCTTCAGCTGTGCTTGGTAAGCTAACTCATCTTTTTCGTCCAACACGCGTCCTCCGACAGTCTGAGGCAGGGGCTTGCTTGGATCCATATCCAAGATAGCGGGGTCCACGCTTTCACTCTGCATCTTGTGCTTTACGACAGCAGATGGCAGCCCCACAGCCAGCATCTTGAAATACTTCTGATACACTGGATGGTCCTTCAGCAGTATCTGGTCCATCTCGGCGCTGCTGCCATTAGCTCCAGCTATTGCTGCAGGTGCTTGCTCGCACTGCTTCGTGATTGCTGGATGCGCAGCCCTGCTAAGTTCCTCGTTTGCACCACCTCGTGCAGGCGGTGACGGTGCATGTCTCTTCGCAAGCATAGCTGCCAATGGATCAATCTTGGACGCTCTTAGCGTCTCATGCATTGCAGACGGCATCTCGGCTTCTTCTTCTACCGGTATGACTTCCGACGTAGTCTTGTCGTCAAATGAGACTTTCCTCAAACTCGCCGTTGGCGAAGCATTCCGAGTTGCAAGCATCTCAGCTAGAATACTATTCCTGTCCGATGCAAGATCCTTCGGGCGTGTTAGCATTGCACCCGTCTCCTCGGTCCTCTGTCGTGCACTCTCCTCTGGTCTCAACTGCATCCATTTCTGCTCTCCATCTGTACCTTCGTTCGGCGTAACAAATGCGCGGTTAGCAAGCATGTCGGCTACACTTGCGTGTCGAGCAATGCCCACGGGCATATGCCGTTGAGACAGCATCTCCAAAAGTTCCCCTCCATAAAAAAAGTCATCGCTGTACGTCGGGGACCTCGGTGACGTCCAGTCCACCAAGTCCACCGAGTCCACCGAGTCCACATCATCCATGAGAATATCGCTCTCTTCATCCTCAAGTCGCACGTCCGCCAAGATATCGAACGAGTCATAGCGTCGTCGCCGCTCCTCCTCTCGTCTCAGTGAAATGCTCTCTTCTGACTCTCCTCCCTCTCCCTCCTGACGTGTCAACAGGTCTTCCAAAGTGCTGTGCAGTCGTCCCCGACTAGATGCAATTGGCCCCCGCCCTTCGTCAGGTTGGTTGAAATCTTCCGAAGACGTCGACGACGTTGCGCCGGATTTCCGACACTCGCCCGCATTTGTTTGCAAGACAAAAGTCCGGATATCGATCGCCCCGTCGTCTTGGTGCACGTCCTTCTCGTCGGGCAGCTCTGCAAAGTGCTTCTTTTGGTCCCGAATATGCCCGGTCCTCGTCTCGTAAAACCCGTGCCCGGGACTGTCCGTATGTCGGAAAAAGTCCTGCACCTTTTGTCGGTTGTCCCAGTGAAAAGTGCCGTCCGCCTGCGTCGGTTCCGCTTCAGCTCCCACCTGCGTCGGCTGGTCGGAAGACACGTGCTTGAACACGGGCAGTCCGAACTGCACCTCGTCCGACCGGACCGAGTGCCCCGGTGTTAAGTGCGGGAGCCGCACGTCCGAATCTTTTGGGCTGGTTCTAGTGGTTGCAGCTGGAGTCGCTGTAAGGAGGTCCCGCGTCTCACTTGAGTTGTGCGTCATGAGCATGGAGATGAACGACGGGGCCATTCGGTTTTCCCTTTATCTTTGCACCAGTGTGGCCCGGACTGACTGCAGAAATGCCCACGATAAACTGCAGAGGAATGGAGAAATGGGGGTCGAGTCCAATTGAGAGGGAAAAGCTACTCGCCGAATCGACGACAATAGACGAATTTCCACTTGTGGTTAGTTTTGACAACAGACAAGACGGTGGGTGGGGTCTTGAGGTTCGCGAGTTTTTGCAAGTGGGTCTCTGGCTGACGGACGGACAAACGCACGCGAACAGTGCCGAGCTCGATAGAAATGCATAAGACTTTGGGAGATTTGGGCGTGTTTTGGGTCCAAATAGACGCTACTTCAGAGAAATGGGGTGGTTTGCGACGCGGAGCGGCCTGGTTCTACAGCGGACTAAGGTGCAGTCGTATCGACTTGGACAGGGAAGCGTGCAAAGCCGCGACCTTGCAGTGTCATTGTGGCGTTTTGCACGACAGCGACTGCCCAGATCGGCCCGGTGGAATACCACCTTTACTTGACTGCGTACAAGGGACACACACGTGGAGGACGTTGCAGCTGTACCGATTCAGGCGCAGCTGAGGGATTTACATAATCTCGGCACAATCAGAACTCACTCACTCACTCCCTCCCTTGGAATCGACGCTAGCGTGCGACATTTGCTGGAAACGGTCTTTCGTCCCATAATAGCAAAAAGCAGGGCGTTGACTGGCACGAAACAGTAAAGGACGAACGATGAATGACGTCTCGCAACATTGACGTCTTGCAACGTTGTACGCATTTGAGTACTGCCTCGCCCGCCTGTTCAACCTCCTACAAGATGGGCTCGAATCCAATTTATTTGGTACGAAATTGGGTGCTGTCACGTGCTGGTTTGATTTGCATTCTCTGTGCTACCCAAATCGATTTAGCAAATGAGCAATCGTCATAGTACCCAATTTGAACGTTCTTCTGCGAGTTAAATTCTGCCGTGGATAGACGACAGTAGGCGTCCCGTCTGATGTAAAAGCCTAAGCGACCTATGGCGCGCTCCCGAATCGGGAGCTACCCCCGATCAGGCAAACAAATTCGTTGCAGCCAGAAGCGACTCATTCTAAACAAGTGCCCTGAGCCACCTCCTCATCTTCCGACTACATTGTGATAGTCATGCTGTGGCATCAGGTGGCGCAGTCTCAGCCTTCATATAACATGTCTGACGACTTCCCTCGGAGGGCGGATGACAGTGATAGCGCGCTGTTTTCTTGCTCTGCGGAGCAAGAAGACTCAATTATGGTCAATAAGAATGCCTTGTGCGTAAGAAGCGAACCAAAAGAGCTTCGTTGCAAGTTGACTCTGCCGTATGGAGAATGGCACGGACTTTACTCTTGGTTGCTGTACCACTTCACAAGCTTCAATGACGGCGCAGAATGTGCATTCAACACGATTGTGAGTTATAGGCTTCAGTAAACCCCTTAAGAAATAGTAAGTACGCGAGCAAGCAGTAGGTACGGGAGCCAGAAATCGTGTATAGGAAGGATCCTATAGATGGTCCGAGAATTCCTGTGAACCCGATTGCGATGGAAAAATGGCGGCCACAACATGACCTCAAAGAGCATAGCATTCTTGAACTGCTGGATGTCCACATACTACATACTTATTTAATGATGTAGAAGTGGATGCGCGCAGACAACGCGACTTGTGGTGGCGAACACTTCGATAAGTGATTTTTTCGGAAGGCTGCGTAATCGGTTCTTGCCTGTTCTGTTTCTTAAGGGCTGGAGGTGGTAGCACCGAAGCCTACGATGCCGCATTCTTTATCCGGCTACATGCTCGGTCACACCGCCAATGTGTACAAATTGTTTTGGCCATAACTCTAGACGTTTAGTGCGCAGTAGAACCCTGACAACTGCAGCAATTTAGGGCCCAGCCTCTCAGACGTATCAATGTGCACGTCCAGCCAGGAAATTCCTGCGATCGACTACTCATACGAACTGTATGAAAGGCTTTTCTGAAGACCGTTTCCAAGACTTCTTCTCTGAGCTCCGCAAGAGCGCGAAGCTCTGCCTGTTATGTGCAACATCTTGGTGCAACTCGGTGTTAATACAGACTCCGAGCCACAGGTTAATCGAGTTCATCTCATTTGCCACTTAATTTGAAGCCAGTGGTAGTAGTGAAAACGGAGTTGCTGAATTTAAGCTGCCAGCGCTTTCACCTCTCGGGTATCCGACAGCGCTCCTGATATGTCGCTTCGTGGAGGGTGCAACATCATTTACCTTCCGTTACCATAACAAGTCTTTCTTCTTCTTGTGTGGACATCAGAATCACACGCACGGACCATTCCATGAGGTACCGGACGCTGAGTGTCTGTGCGATTTTTATTTGATGTAGCATGGAGCTCGAAGTCTCCATCCAGACGACTTACGTCGTAGCAAAACTTTGGTCGCTTTCGTGTTTATCGACTGGTTTCCAGCTTGTAGCTTCTGCCTGTAGCCCTCTTTATACGATGAGTCAAGTGTTTCCACCATGTCGACGGGATCTTACTCTAATGTTGTGCGTGTTAGCCTGCGTCCACGTCATTCCTATTCTGGACGAGGTGGCTCCAACAGTTGATACTTCGGCTTCTCAAGCGTTTGTTGAAAGAATAAATTGGCTTGTGCTATACGAACAATTCTCTTTCTCGTTTCTGTAGCTTGGCAAACACGACTTGCGCGACTTGCATAATCTACCACTCGATAAAAGACCATAAACAGCCCTTCTGCGCTCCTTCTTGACAAAACTCAGCTTGCTAGTTTCGTGCATTCTTTGTCCACCATACAACTTCGTGATCGAGAAATCAGGTTAGAGGTCCAGAAACGCGGGAGTGCCGACCCATTTTCGTTTCTATTGATGATATGGAACGCACATTACGCTCTCACGTGGCGAGATTGCAATCCATTTGTAACAACAGCCAGGAGAACTGTGGACGACACTGGTCCGGACATGACATGTGGCAATTCCATGGCCTAGCACGTGCTTGGTTGGGTTTGGTTTCTCATCTTCTCACTGTTAGGTTGGGTACAAGCCACTGCAACTCACCACTCGCTTTGTACAAATGCACCCTAAAGCTGACATCTGCTTACGTTGAGACATGTGTCCCTCACAGAGATGCGAGGATAAGCTACCCCTATCTTTCAGTGCATTGTAGCCGACCCAGATCCCGCACAAATGTATCGGATGTATTGACAGTCGGCGTAAGTATATCGACTTGTAGGTGCAAGTAGTTAGTTATCCAACATTAGGCTATCGTGCGTACGTTCTAAGCATGTCGTAGGCCTTAAGCGGGACAACACGTACTGTATTAAGTACGATGCCAGATGTAACCAAGCTGACGCATCCGGAAGGGCGACTACCTCCTTATAGATAGTCGTTATATCGATCGATGGCGTTTTCTCTCAAACAAGTCTGGCCGTAAGATATCCGGGCTTTTAGGCTGACATAATGCTTGATGCATGCCCCTTGACAGCGTAGCAGCAGAAACTATGATATTTCTGTCGCTATGCTGTCGAGGACCTTGCTAGGGCCATTCTTGGTGTAACGGGGCACCCTGAAGCTTGTACTGGTGACAGTACAAGCTACTTATTCTGATGACAGAATAAGGCGGTGCCTCGTAATTTCACGTACACTGGTACGTGCAGAGGAAGACGGTAAGAAGAAGCGAGTACTTGGTTAAAGTAAAAAGTAAAACTGTATTTATCATAGTTAATGTCTGTTAGTAAATCACTGTTGATCCTCATCTAACTATGTCTAAATACAAATGTGCATATCAACTATCAGCTCACCACTCATTGCGTGCGTCTGTCGTGGCGCGTCTTCGTTGGTTAAATTAATGGCCTGTAACTGTATCAACCAAGCAGGAACTACTCGTAAGGGCTGCCGAATATTAGTCCTTGTGACAATATTCTGAGAATATAACTCTTATAGTTATATTCTATTACCAATTTCTTATAAATTATTATGTAACGGTTCACCCCGTTACATCACCCCCCCCTAACCGTCAGTCACTAAAGTGACTGATTGACTAAATACACACTCGTCCCACAATCATTTGGGACGGGGTTTGCACTTGTTGGTCCGAGTCCACAGTCCATCAGTTTCATCGCATGGTAAACAAGTCCATGCGGTGCGCGAACAAGGCCGCTGAGAGCGCGTCTGCACGTCTCTGTGCAGACGCCGAAGCAGAAACCGCTGTAACCGATGTGTCATCGGTTGCTATAGCGTCTCAGCCTGTATCACCTGGTGATGCAGGCGCTCGTCATGAAGACACTCATGTCTTCACAGAGTATGAGCGCAGTGTCTCATACTCTCCTGATACGGAAGAGGGATCTGTATCGAAGGCGTTTGAAACCAAGCCGCCTGGCAAGCGTGGCACGGATGATGCTACGCGTCTTAGCATCTTCGGTTCGTCTGACGAATCAGATGAACCATCGCCAAAGAGAAGGCGCTCGAGGTCGCAAGACTCGGGCGCTCACAGTGGCGTCGGTTCTCCTGTTGACACCACTTCGCAGCGATGTACCAGTGATCGCTATTGAACACGATTGTTCGATTCATCAAGGATCCATCACCTTGACCGCAGTGCGAAAAACTATCGCACTGAGAATGAGTTCTTCATCGATGCTTGAAGAAAGCATCGATGGTACAGTGGGAATCAAAAACGTGATGGTCCCTTACTGCTTCAAGCGTGGAACGCTTACTTCCATAACCTTGAGGATGTGGGTCGTGACGTTCGGAGCGACAAACTTATCAAAGCTCGTGATAAGTTTGAAAAGCGAACCCCGACAGGTGCACGCTATAAGCTGCATCGTCTGTCTTAGAAGGGTTGGCTACCCTGTCTTTCCTGGGGAGACTCGTGCCCATGTTGTGTTAACAACTCTGCACGCGCACCTAAGGAGGCTTACCTCCCTAATAGCCCGTGGTGGCGCGTACGTATCTCTACTGAGATGTACGAAGGGATTGACAACCTGAAATCCCTTTACGACCGTGCCGGGAAGACTTTCTCCGGCGGTCCTTCTGCGGCACAGGATGAGCCGCGTCGTACTGCTCAACCAGACCCAGTACGTCAATCATCAGTTGGTAGCGGGGCTCCCAAGTATCCCAGGACGGGGGAAAACCGCGCCACCGGACGAGGTAACTCGTCCGAAGTCCGTTCACATTGCATTGGTTCAACAGCCGCTCAATCAGATAGCGCTGGCCACCGCGAGAGTCCTCCAAAGGAGGTGGTAAAGACGGGAAGACGCTCTTCAAGCTATCGTGGGGAAGCGTGTATCTCCGAGAGCTTCTTTGATCGCGTAACTCTTGCGTTACGCGACGACCTCTAGCATGGGCGGGACAGGCGTCTTCAACTCGCGGACACTGTCTTGAAGCATCGAGCTGAGTTTGCTTTTGCTCAGCTTGAGAACGAGAGAGCTTTGACATCTCTGCGTTACAAGCTAAGGGTAGCTCGTGTGGATATTGACCGGTCTCGGGCTGAGATAAATGCTCTTCAGACCCTTGTTGATATCCACCATCGGGAGCCCAAGGCTTTCTGCGAGATGCTTGAACGCAAGGGCGTTCTTCATCGGAAGAAACAGTGTACTGATGGTACGGCTTAAGCCGACCAACGTAAAACGTGGGATGCGTTCGCATCTTACGTGGCAGTTTGATCGTGTACGCGTTTCCTAGGCGATGCAATACACGAAATGGACCGATGTACTTGGGTAGTAGTAAACTACTATCCACGTTAGTCACTACGTGCTTTGGTAGATCAACCGTAGACAGTAGTACTAAGTCACCTTTATTAAATAAAAGAGTGTTTGCCCTTCCATTTTTGTCTGCGTTTTGCTTTTGCTTACCCACCGCTTCGGAGATGGAGTCTTGCACGAAACGGACTACCGTTTCACGAGCCAGCATGAACTCACCTGATGACTCGTTAGCTTCAGTGTGCTGTGAGTGCACCGCAGCAACATCAATCTTTTCTTCAGTGAGGGCTTTCGCACTCTCACTGGCATCATCTTCTTCGATATCAATGTTACCGATATCGGCATCAAACGCAATGACCTCTTCGTCAGAGCGTGATGAGCGTGAACCAAATTGTTTTTTGCTCGCGCGAGTCTCCCCCCCCCTTAAACCAGAGTTACACTCGACTAAGGTGGCTACACGCGGATGGCGCAAGCCACTAAAGTAGAAAGGTGTATGTGTCGTGAACGCATGCACCGAGTTGTTAATGGAAAACTCTACCGCTGACAAGAAATCACTCCAACTCTCAAAGGAGTATACGTATCCTCGAAGTATCTCTTCGAGGACACGATTGGCCCGTTCCGTCTGACCATCTGACTCTGGATGATCCGATGTCGACATCTTCAAGCGCGTTCCGAGTGATTTGAACACGGAACGTCAGAAATCAGCAGTGAAGCGTGGATCTCTGTCTGATACGAGTTCACGGGGTAACCCATGAAGTCGGAAGATGGCGTCGATAAAGACACAAGCATAGTCACTTGCTGTGAGTGACTCGGGTACAGCCACAAGGTGTACCATTTTGCTGAATCTTTCAACAAATACGAGAATACCCGTATTCCCGCGTGCGTCTTTGGGTAACCCGAAGACGAAATCCATTGAGATGGATTCCCAGCACTCAGCCGGAACCGGTAGAGTCTGTAAAGGTGCACGCAGTGAAGGACTTGACTTCACTCGTTGACAGACTTCGCATGCGCGAACATACTTTCGCACAAACTGATACAGGCATGGCCAGTAAAAGTCTCGACTCACCGTGAGATACGTTTTCTCCCGGCCACGATGTCCTCCTATAGGAGCATCGTGATACTCGAACGTGACCCGCAAACGCAGATCAGTATCATCTAGGATTACAACACGTGGTGTGTCACCAGTAACGGCTGTATAATACAGTAAACCGTTGCGAGTAGTGTATCGATCTGATGCAGATTGATACGCAGACGATAAACGTTTCAACGATTCCCGAGATGGCTGTGAGAGATGTGTCAACACCTTCACAATCTCACCATCTTGGGCATACGCCCGCCTCACAGCATCATGCAACGTTGAAGATGGGACTGAGGACGTCACAACCGCAACAGTGACTGTCTCACTATTGGGTTCCACGGCTGGTTCAAAGTCGGGCCGACGTAAGAGTGCATCAGAGACGACATTAAGTCGTCCTGGTTTGTACTCTACCGTACAGTTGTATTTATGCAAAGAATGAAGACCACCACGCCATTCGTTGTGAAAGGTGCGGGCTGTTCACTGCCGTGCGTAGAGATGCATGGTCTGTATAAACAATGAAGGGTCTATCTCCTTATAGATAGACTCTGAACTTCGCGAGTGCATACTTCATTGCAAGGAGTTCCTTGTCATGCACTGGATAGTACCACTCAGCTGGTTGCAGCTGACGCGACTGATAGCAGACGACGCGTTCAACGCCTTCAAGATCGTGCTACATTAATGCACAGCCAATTGCGAAATCGCTGGCATCACAGACCACATGAAATGGCCTGTCCTGATCGGCAATTGCTAGGACTGGGGATTGTATCAAGCTCTGCTTGATACCGTCAAAGGAGCGCTGACATTCAGCGCTCCATAACCACCTCTCGTTCTTTTTCAACAAACGAGAGAGGTGTACAGTCATCTCGGCGTAATTGCGTGAGTACTTGTGCAAATACGCCGCTAGCCCAAGGAATTTTCGAAGACCTTTGACATCAACTTGCACAGGCCAGTCGGTGATCGCCTTGATCTTTTCGGGATCAGGACGTACACCGTTCTTACCAACGATGCACCCAAGAAGAGGTATTTCGCTTTCTGTAAATATACACTTCTTGACATTGGCATACACTTGATGCTTTCGCATGATTGTAAGAACCTGTTGGACGTGGTATCTGTGAACCTCAACGTCCGACTTTCCATCCATAGCCCGACTATGGATGAATACGTCATTGAAATAACTCGGAGCGAATTATCGTACTGGTCTCAACAGATGTGATACACATCTGTTGAGCGTGGCAGGGGCATTACTAAGCCCTTGTGGCATAACTAGCCATTCCCAGAGCATGCCGCTAGGCGTGCTCACTGCGGTACAGGGTATATCCCGTTCTCGCATAAGGATTTGATAGAAGCCATCCATCAAATCCATGGACGAAAAGATGGTACTCTTTGACATACCATCAATGATTACGTCCTTCCTTGTTATCGGCGTCTGAGCCGGTACCGTTGCAGCATTCAACTTGTTAAATGTGTGCACAATTCGCCACCCTCCTGTTGCTTTTCGCACCCAGAAAGTCGGAGAGCTATGTGGGTAAGTTGATTCCCTCACATGGCCCGCAGCTAAAGGATCGGCAAGTATCTTGTCGATCGCAAGTACTTGTTCACGAGGCAGTGGCCACTGCTTCCAGACACAGTACTTCGAGCCTGGTTTAAGCTCGACCATGTGTCGAATACCTTTATCCTTCGGTAACTCGCACGGAACAGTTTCAGGGAATACATCCTTGAATGCAACCAACTCTCCATAGAGAGGATTTGTCTTGAGCGATTCCCACGATTGGGAGTCATATCGCTCAACTCGTGTCTTTTTATCGAGGACACTCTCGTCCATCGATGAACTACTGAGAACTCTCTCGTTCTCATCAAACACTGTTGCTGACCTTATGTCGGCTACGCACTCGTCGTCAGCGACGAGTACGCAGATCTGCTTGACTTTGCCACTACGCAGATTACGCAAGAACCTTTTATGTTCGAGCGTTGGCAACTGATTGATCACCGAAGTCAACTTCGGAGGCGCAATCAGATCAAGTGTATAAGCGCCTACACTTGATCCATCATTGACTATGACATTCAATGTCTCTGTCTTTTCCTGGAAACTTATTCCATAAGGCCTCGAAGGACTTATTCCTTCGGATTCCCGTGGACTTATTCCATCAGGCCTCGAAGGCTTTATTCCTTCGGCTTTTCGGGGACTTATTCCCTTAACTTCCTCTAGCTGTAGTTGCGCAACCACAGCAAGATCCTCTACGAAAGACTCTCCAGTCGATATAGGATTATCGTATCGCTTAACCTAAGCGATCGATTGTTTCTCCATTCGATGTTCCCCGCTAGGGATACATCTTTGTCCCGGTCCACTCGACTTATTCGAGTTGTGTACCTTCGGCGCAGCCTGTGTTTCCTCACAGCCGCCGGAAGCTTGCTCCGAAGTGTAACTGTTTGTTGCACTAAGGTTTCGTGCAGTCGTACTAACGACCATACCACAAGTGAGGTCATCGCACTCACTCGTAGTGCATTCACACGCTTGTGGACGCTCCAAAACGTTCATCAGATGGCCATCTGATGAACAAGCGGCAGGCATCGTTACTGTTCGATGTTGCCAGTTTACCCGTGGTTCGTACCTTCTGAGCCACGGTATTCCAAGGATGACATCAAATTTGTCATCCAAATCCAATACGATAAAGTCATCGTCATATTGGGTATCTTCTAGCGTATAGTGAATATTCACTATACGCTTCATGACGGTTACGGATGCGCCTGTCGCAAGACGTACCGTCATCCTCGTAGGAGGTGTGTCACATTCACTGAACTTAAAGTGACCATCTTCTAGCGATTGGCGTCGCACAAAATTGTTGGATCCCCAAAATCGACTAGAGCTCGAAGGGACAACTTATTTGTCACTTCGAGTTTCAAGGTAATGAGTGAGATCTCATTACCTACAGCAGCAACGCACAGTTTTTGTGTGTTGGGAGCAACCTTCGTCAAGAGGCCTACAAATTCTCTTGACGTTGCTGGACCAGTAGGGTGCTCCGCACCTACTGATCCTGTCCGTTTGTTGACGGTCCATCCCGTTGTTGCGTCTTTGCACCAACAGCGGACCCGCGTCCCTGCCCCTTTCTCATGGGTGGACGGTCATTACGCCCAGTGTTGCGAGACACTGGACGAGGGACACTACACTCGTAAGCGTAGTGTCCTGTCTTTTGACATCTGTTGCATTTCTGCAACTTCTTGTAGTCTGTAGAGCGAACCTTCTCGCTCTCTACATGACAGAGTTCCATCGGCTCTGGACCTCCGCTGTCATATCGTCTCGGTTGACGATATGATGTAGAGCTGGCGCGAGACTGTCTCAGACTGAAGTCTTCCTGTTCCGCAATGAAAATGGCTTGTTCTAGTGAATCTAGTTCAAGCCGGAACAGGTGAGTCTTGACGGGACCATCCGCAAGACCCTGCATGAACACTGAAACCATCGTGTGTTCATCCAACGGATTGGAACTTATACAACTCGTGAGATGTCGTATATGTTGCGCGTAAGCGTGCACGTCACGCTTACCTTGTCTGAGCTTCAAGAGTTCGG